AGATACTGCTGTGTAGGGAACCGACAGGGATTAATTTAATCATTCAGTTCACCACTTTGTTTTTGTGTGCTGCACAGTTTGATGTCAGAGCAAATGGTGATATGAAAATACAAGCAATGGGTAAACTACAGATAGAACAACAAATATATTCAGAGGGTTGAATGTTAGTTGAGGTGGGATAGCCTAGTTTCTATACTGGAGGGGGCTGTGGAGTAGCCTAGTGGTTAAAGTGTTTGCTCGTCACGCTGAAGATCCTGGTTTGATTCCCCATATGGGTACAATGTGTGAAGCTCATTTCTGGTGTCCCCCGCTGTGATATTTCTGGAATATTGCTAAAATCGGCATAAAACCAAACTTCCTCACTTATTCTATACAGGAGGCTTGTCATGCCATTGACCCAGGTTCAATTCCTTACATAGGAACAAACAATAGCATACAATGAGCAAATCACTTGTTCTCTTCTCACGTGCATGCATGTAGGTGCTGTAATGTTGATGAAAGTGGAGTTCAACACCACTTGTTATTTTATTCGATACATTTTTTGTAATGAGTCATGTTCCATATCAAAACTACACCATAGATCGCTTTGAACATATGCCCATTTGGACTTAAACCCACCAAGCTGCATGATGGCAAGCACACCATCCACTGGGCTGGCCCACCGTCCCTGATGGTGAGACCTTCACAGGTATTAAACATATAAATGCACAATGAATGTCAGGCTTGATTCAAGGTCATGTTCACATGTGACGATCATATGACTGCTATGAAGGAGTGGGTGGCTGAGGACATGAGGTGGCTGGGTGACAACTATATGTGGCAAGCATACGTCAGGAAGAATATAACAGTAGGATTGTGTGGAATAAAGCTCCCTCCAGTGGTTCAGGTCTTGACTTGACTGACTAAAGTCATGTGAGCATTACATAAGGGGTAGGTGGGTGGTGGGGGTTTTGTATCACTGTTTGTGATTTCTATTGACAGATTGCAACAGTTTTTAGAATTTGGTGAATCATACAAAAAGTTGCAGACTTTTCAGTTGAAACTTTGTACTTGAAAACTTTTCAGTTGAAAACGTGTAAACAAAATTGGTATTGTTAAGGATAAGGTTTTCATGAACATGCAAAGATCTATCAAGTTTTGGATCACATTAAAAAGTTATTTATAACCTGAAATAATTATACATTTTTCCGATTCCTTCAAACTTATGAGTGCATGTATAGCTGCATAGACTGTATTCCCATCATGCTTTGCATGGAAAAGTTATACAGTATAAAACAAATATTTATTAGTTCGTTTAATAGCAGACTCTCAAGTAAACAATCAGAGAGCACATAGTTGCATTTGAGTTAATCAGAAATACATTACGACCAAGAGACTATTGATAGAAATCTGACAATATAATAATGTTAATGTGAACAGCTGATAGGGAGATATACATCTGTACTCCATGCACAGACATCATGCAGTACTGGAGGTCAGCTGAGGTTGTTGACAGTGCGGTGAAGTTTGCAGATGCATTGGTGACCGAAGGTCATGCTCGGTCAATATGCGTGGGAGGCGGAGATGACCGCTGTCACCAAGGCCACTAATCAATTATACAAGCTAGTGGGCGTTGGTGTTTACAAAGTAATTCATGTTTGTTTCATGGCAGCAATTTCAGATCAAAATTTGGGGTTAAAAATTGACGCTATTCCTTGACGTATGAACATGTATACCCACATGCAAAGTACCAGGTGAAGGTATTATGTCTAGGTTTCATGGATATATACATTGTTTACTTAGTAATCTAGGTCTAGTGCAAAGCTGTGATACATTGTATGATGAAATTTATTCATGTCATACAAGGATTTGTGTTTGTTCTGTCTTTTTCTTTTAAGAATATATTCAGGTACATCAGTGCAGACAGTAGCTCACTCTTTTTGCTTTTTAATTTATTTTATTTTAAGTTTAAAAGTTTAATATATTTTGAGGACTGTAAAGTATTAGCCCTTATGACACTTATACGAACTATTGTGTATGAAGAAAATGCTTTGTACCACATTAATGGTTATATCTGTATCTTTCTGGGAACTTAGTTTCTGCAGAATTAGACAGATTGTGTAACTTAAGAGTGTATTTCTTCCAGCAGGCAATCAATTGGCAAGTTTTAAGCACAATCAGTGAAGCACATCAATATGGAAAGGGAAGTAACTCTTTTAAAAGTTTTTCCAAGCAGCACAGGGTGTGGTTGTGGGTAGAAGGTTAAGGATGGAACCTCACAGTACCCAAGTCATGAAGGGAACATGTATACATGGAGGGAATGACAAAGATTGAACAATGTCCAAAGAGATGGAACTGTGCACCCCTCCACCACCTACCCCTCTGGTTGTACTAGTCAAGTTGTACTTTAGAACACTGAGGTCGTGTCATGCAAGTTTTGCTTTGTCACAAACAGGGTCAGAGCAATTAGAACATAGTTGTTAATAATCGTGTTGGTAACATTTCAAGCATGATGTTGTGTGGGCGTGTGCACCACAGCTTGTGTAATTAATAGGACAACTATTGATTTGTTTACGGTAACCCAGGCCACTAAGAAGTAGGCCAGCTGGTGACAATGACACACAGCAACACATGTATGTAAACTGCCGAGGCATTAGGATAGGAGCTGTCCAACTATATTATGGGTATAATAAAGATAGTTGTGACAATGGGGATGACTAATAGTAATACATCCCCCTAAATGATTCAACTTGATGATGATGATGATGATGATGATGATGACTGATGTAACAATGCTACTGCTGTTAATTAGGTGGTAGTGGTGGAGAGTGATGATGATGATGATGATTTGATGATGATGATGATTTGGTGGTAGTGGTGGAGTGATGATGATAATTATGATGATGATTTATTAGGTGGTAGTGGTGGAGTGATGATGATAATTATGATGATGATTAGGTGGTTGTGGTGAAGTAATGATGATCGTTAATCATGATGGTGATGATGATTGTTACTTGTTCCTGTCAATCCCGGCTGGTAATGTTTCTCGGAAATTCGCACTCCAGAGGAAATGAGTTTTACAAAAAACATCCTCCCCTGTGACATTTGTCCACAATGATGTTTATGCAGATAAACTGTGTTACACTGAATGCCCTACAAACTAAACCCATGTCCAATATTTCCTGAAAATGTGGAAAATGAAATAGAGATTAAACTGCTTTAGGTTTGACTCGATGAACTAAGAGCTACTTTCTTGCTGCTGCTGTTGCAGATAATGCTGATGTAAAAGTGACTCCAAACAGCAACTTTTATTCAATGAATAACCTTTATACTTCTGGAACGCAATAGACCAAACACATTCAGCCCTCAAAGGAACTTCTTTTACCCTTTTCCCACCATGAAATGCCCCATACAGCCCTAGTCGTCTCTACTTATCAGAATATCTTGATTACGATTCAGTGATAAGTATAGCATCATATCACCAGACTGTGACCGAGACGTTACACAGAACATGAATAATTGATGTCCATGTCAGCCAATCAGAAGTCACAACCAACTTCCTCATTGTAAGGAATACTTCTCTCTGGAATTCCTTGGAGTGAAATCCTAGAGTATTATTTTTAGAGCAAGTTTAAGAAGATTTGGAGGTCTTTGTGAGATCATTTGTCCTTACATGGCACCATTGAGAGTTATCTCTTCACGTTAATGCAGAAAGATGTCTTTCTGCAGAAGTTACGCAAGCTTTGTTTTTTTTGGAGAAGGTTGTGTAGCATCTAGATTATCAAGCAGTATTTATTGAAATGAGTTTTCATTTTATTAAATCAAGTTATAAAAGCTTAAGAGGCAGCCAATATTATGAAAATTAGATGTCGCCCACAGTAATTAGATACTATAGTCTTGACCACTGAGGATTTATTGACATGAGGTGAGTGTTCCTTCCCTGTATTGTAATACTTAACAAAGGACAATCAAGGTTTCACAAAATTTGAATCAAGATCACCAGTATTAAATCTTTATGAAATCATTTAGAAATAGCTCAGATAAGTAGAGCCTCCTAATGAGATCCCATCCTAGGTTAGGAGGGTTTATTAAACACAGATTTATTCATATTGAAATGGGTTTTTATGACCTTCAGCGACAGTGTTCCTATATTCCTAGAACTTGATCCCATATCCTGTTGCAAGAAGTGAGGATGTTACTACTCCCATACCTGATGTAAGCATAGGCGAGTCAGTCTGCCTGTAATCGTCATACACACAAACAAAGTCCTCCACAGTGACCTCACATACAGCTGAAGCAGTTAATGATGTAACAGATTAATACAGGCTTTTCAAATTATGCCTCCGCTTCAGTCTGAGTATGTGTACTTACAAGGAAGCACTTTCAGTGTGACGTAGGCTTTTCGATATAATCCTAACCGTAGCGTTAGGTACAGCCAGTCCCAGCATGTAGTATTCCTCGGAAATAGGCACACAGGAGGAAGTCAATTATTGCAAACACATTTTCCATTAATATTTTTTCACAATGATGTTTTATACTGATAATTGATCTTGCGAGGTTGTTCGATTTTCCTGGTAAGCCCATCCTGTGTCCAGTATTACATGAAAGTATATGAAACAGTTTTTCATGATCCACATTGCTTTATAGAAAGGTAGAGCAGTAGTTACATTCTTTGTAGTTTTAGTTAGGCAAGAATACAGACTTTATTGACAATAATTAATTAGGTGATGATGATGATGATGATGATGATGATGATGATGATGATGATGATGATGATGATGATTTTTTGGTGGTTGAGGAAGAGGAGGTAAATCAGTAGTTACATTCTTTGCAGTTTTACTTAAGCAAAAACACAGACCTTACTGACAAAAACGATGATGATGATTGTAGTGCTTGATGATGATGATTGTAGTGTTTGGTTGATGCTTCTGCTACTGATGATGATGATGATGATGATGATTGTAGCATAAACATGTCCAAATTGTAAAGACAATTTGCTTACAATTCTATTTTTGTTCCAGGATTTTGAAAGATGGAACGTTGTTTGACAACCAAGTTGTGTCGGAGAGCAGGATTACTCTGTTACCTAATATGGCAAGTGGAATGACGGTGAGTGTTTACATAATTGCGGTCAGCCATTTCATGAATGAACAGCCGCTGTAAGTGGTTAGACACTTATTTTGCTTGCAAAGAATGATGGATGATGAGCTCAAATGAGAAACTGGACCAGGCCTTCAGCATAAATGTCGGTCGTTTAGGGTTGATTCGGGAACTTTTACTGACTGTAATTGGAATCCTGTGTGACAGTCATGATTCACATATCTTTTATTCTGTGACTTTGTCAGAACGAAGAAAAAAATCATGTTAACAACTCCTTATAGAATCATTAGTGAATTCCAAAGTAGCATCTAATTATTATACAATGCTTAGACGTGTGTGGGGGTGTGTTGGATGTCTGCATATTTGTACACAGCTGCTGGCAAAGTCAGGCATGCACATGTGCATAAATGCATGCACATGCGGGCCCATGCATGCAGTATGCATTATGCTGAAAACAGCTCTGTAGGATCATGTCATGACATTATTATTATAAATTGATTACCATTTTCAGGTTTATGAAAAAAGTCAGCTTTGTTCATCACCAAAGGGGGCTAGTGGGGTAGCCTAGTGGTTAAGGCGTTCGCTCGTCATGCTGAAGACCCAGGTTCGATTCCCCACATGGGTACAAAGTGTGAAGCCCATTTCTGGTGTCCTCTGCTGTGATATTGCTGGAATATTGCCAAAAGCAGCTTAAAAGCAAACTCACTCACTAATCCCCATAGATGCATGGTATTCACTAAAACTGATGCCCATCTTGTTAAAAATATCTTTACAGACAACGTAGGATAATCATTAATAATGAATCACATAGCGCCAGTATCTATCTATGGAAACTATGTATAGATTTGCAATAAAGTTCAGTGTAGTGATGACACTTTGAATGAACTCAGAGTGCTGCTCAGTCATAGTACGATGCAAATATCGACACATGAATAGTACTGTATGTATATTTCATGTGGGAAAATGAAAACCTATGCAAGATGGACTGATTTGGCAAGTCAGAACCCTAACAATGAATAGGTTGTATACATGAAGATGCGTTTACTTTGTGAAAGTATATTTCCTGCTGGTCGAAACCTGTCACCTATTGATTGGCAGGTGTTGTCTGGAATTGATGTGAAATAGACAATCTTGCATGTACGTCATTCATTTCAATGACTCTACATAAACATTTTGTAAGACATACATAAATGATTAATATTCTGATCATTCAAATGAAATAAATGAAACAGAACCAATACAAATTTAAAAAATATATTTAAGTGTTTGCATATATTTTATATATTTTTATATTTTAGATAAATTATTCATTTATGTGAAAGTTTATAAATACTTACGAAAGTTCATTTTATTATATCAAATAATCTCCCCAAATGATATGTGATTGTTAATTATTAATGATAATTCATGATTTTCTGCCAAAATGAAATGTAATTGTTCATTATTAATGACAATTCATACCGGTAATTATCAAAGTTATCAGAAATGAGGTCAAAGTCCACATTCTTAAAAGAATAATCATGTCACTCCAGCTAAAGTGATTGATACGATTCATATTAGCCTGTACATGGAATATATTCCACATTATCATTCAACAGTAGTAGTGGTTGAATGATATAGACAAGATTACAGTGTTGTATATTTCACCCCGTACTGTATGCCCTGATTGTACTGGCTATAAGAACAAAGCAGACTAAAACAGATCGGTTTGGATTTCACAGCTGTGCGGCAATGACGTACACTTCCCACTATCAATAACAGATAGACTAACACACGGCTATTGTAAACAGCATCGAATGGCGTGTGGTGCGTAGTCATCAACTCCGGTCCTTATATGGGAATATAAAGGCCGGAATGTGACCCACATCTGTGTCACTTGTCACATGTGTAGTGACGCGACCTTGTTATTTGGGGTCAAATCTAAATAAACTAGCTGAATGCTGCACGTGGTGAGAATGTTTTAGAATGAAATTATAAGACAGGTGAAAAATATACTTAAATGTACAATTGCCGACAGCTGAAAGTAGACTTATTTTACCGCTAGTGTGTGAGGAGGTAAATGGGTGTGGTTTTGTTTGTTTAATAAAAAATAAACTTACAAGAGTGGATTATAGGTAACTAAATAAATAATACTTTAAAAACATGTTGCTGAGAATGCTGTCTTACACTTTGTGAGAATGTTTACCAAAATGTAAACTAAATATATTCACTGAAACCTACATTTCTGAATATGTTCATAATGACAGACAATGGCAGCAACAGTATTGTAAATTTAGTGGCTGATCTGTAATTTCATGGCTAAAATTAAAGCAGGAAAAAGAGTTGATTGAGGGTTATGCTATAGCTGGCCACATGATTATATCCCTTGACACATCCACATCAGGCTCGACGACAACACATGTAGTGCTACATCCTCGCACGCGAACAATCCACTCACTGGTATTGCGAGTGTCACACAAAACAATAGGGATTATCACTTGCCAATGCTGATTTCCTGTTCTACTCCATCCAAACACAACATCAGGCATATGATGCTGGTGAAACTGAACATGATATGGAAGTTGGCAAAGAATAATCAATTTTAATTCAATTTATACCAGAAACAGTGACTTTTTTCCATTAACCTAAAACAATACTTTGAGAAAATAGTTTCTTGTTCTGAAAGTTATTTGTTCGCAATAATTTTTTACTTTTTCGATAAGGTTTATTGTAATAAATTCATTGTTAGATTTTCATCCTTTCTGCAGAACTGTTATTTTCACTATTGTGTTTCCTTGGTGACGTTCACCATGTATTTCATCCAACCGTAGACTTGGTCTGAATCGCACACCACCTCCATGGCCTTGTGGATAGAGTGTCTGCCAGGAGAGTAGAGGTTGGGGTTTGATTCCCAACAGTGGCATAACAAAACATACTGAAAAAGTAGTACTTACTGAGAGTAGAAGTTGGAGTTTGATCTTCAGTGTCATACCAAAATATATTTAAGAGTACGTTGAAAAAGACAGTACTTGCTGTTTCCCAGTTGGAACATCAAGGGATTAAAACAAAGGCTGGTTGGGCTTGGTCAGTATATTGTGTGAGAGGGGTATGTTCAGCTGGTATCTCTGTAGGCTGCCTCTATAAAACCAGCAGTAGTCCAGACAAGGAGAGGCAGCCACATGCACACACATGTGCAGGCACATAGTTATTTAAGTGCAGTAATTTTGAATCTTGTGTTTAATTACTTTCATCACCTCACCTCACCTCACCTCACCTCACCTCACCTCCTGCAAATCACATGACAGTTTATGTAAACACGTCAAGAATACTGTTTAAAAAAGATAAAACATTACAAATGACAAATAAATATGATCATGAAAAAACCTTATGTATAATTTAATCCTACTTTAGAATTTTAGAAAAATTGCTTAACACGCATCGTCAAAACATTATACAATTTAATAAAATCTGATACAGATATGTTACCTGTGGCTGTGTGGTTAGACTCGCATTTACTCTCCATAGTACATATATATTATTTCCAAATTGATATCTGAAAAATAAAATCTGAGCTATATTGTGTGGTTTCCAATATTGCATTGTTAATGGTTGCTTTCCTGATACCAGAGATGGAGACAAATACAATGATATGGGATATCCTGTAATATTATCATGCCAGAAACACACGGAAAGATTTAGTCATTTTTCTTCAAGTGATATTTAACCATGTCTTTCTTGTTTCCAGTTTCAAAGACCAGAAAATGGAGTGATGCAAGCACTAGAAAATCTGACTGAGTCACAAGTAAGAGGAACCACTTTTATGTTATTAAACATTTGATAAGACTATCAATTATTCTTGCTTCTCATGTTCGAGCTGAAAGCAGCCAAATTGGCTAGATAAACAATTATTGTTGGGAATGCTTCAAGACTCAAAAGAAATTATGGAAGTGCTAATTTTGTTTGTATGTCTATAATTTATCTGTCACGCTAGATGAGGTGTTCCTTAACATGTTTTGAGTAGTATGCATTGTGTATTGTTCAAACAGCTTTCATATGCATTTTAATTCATAATTTCATAGAGGCGGTGGGGTAGACCAGTGGTTAAAGCGTTCGCTGGTCACGCCAAAGACCCGGGTTCGATTCCCCTCATGGGTACAATGTGTGAAGCCCATTTCTGGTGTTTCCAGCTGTGATATTGCTGGTATATTGCTAAAAGCGGCGTAAAACTAAACTCATTCATAATTCCATAATTTAGTATTTAGTCTTTTATTTCGCTGCTCACGTAACAAGTTTTTGTTTTAGGTAAATGATTTCCTCTCTGGCCGTGCACCACTCTTACTAGCAATGCGACTGGGCGATCACATGATGTTTGTTCAGCTTCAACTTTCAACATCACAATGTGTGAGTCGGCGATCACGTGGTCACGCTACACCAACGATGTCCACACCACCAACGTCCCCGACTCACCCTGTCTTCCCTAACTCTGCTGCCATCACCCGCGCTTCGCTGGCCGCAGCGAGCCGTAATCTTTCACAGAAGTTGCGAGAGCTGACACGACTTACAGGCCATGCAAAGGTAGGAAGTTAAAAAATATTACACCATCTGGGTTAGAATTGATCTTCAACAACCCATGCTTGTGTAAGAGGCGACAAATGGGATAGGTGGTCAGGCTCGCTGGCTTGGTGGATGCATGTCATGGTATCCCAATTGCATAGATCGATGCTCATGCTGTTGATCACTTGTTTTGTTATATTATGATAATAATAATTAAAAGCAAACAATCCTTTTCTTTCATGTGTTGACATAAAAGTTACATTATTTTGATGTTATAAGAATTTATCCTATTTTGATTATTTTTCAGGTTGGTGAGTCTGCCCAAGTGACTGTCTCCTCTCGAGTCCCAACTCCCTCCAACCCCATTGCCACCCCCCATCCCCCTTGCTCAAGCCCTGGTGCAGTGATAGACAGCATGCACCACCTTGGACAGGGAGTGTACTCGGGAACGTTTTCAGGTGGGTTGTCTCCCCTGTACTCACACTTTCATTGGTGTTTGAAGTTTGTATGTGATTCATACCCAGTGTGCGAAATCTACACTGGTCCTGTGGTCCCCGGATAGCAAAAACTTGCAGTGGTCCTGGTGGCCAGTGAACTTTGTATTGATTTGTTAAGTAAATCTGTAAATGTTATTTTGGACCAGTGAGTACAGATTGTCCACTCACTGGTCTAGTGGGAAATTTTGAAAGATTTCTTTCCCTGCATGATACTGTAATTGAACCTCATTCATTCTACTTCTTTGAATGGTATTTGAATGTTGGCGGGATGGATAGTTCTATGGATATGCAACATCTGTATTACAATACATGCGACGTTTCGTTGTAAATTCTTTCTACTTATATCATTACATGCTTTTGCTTAATTATGTTAAATGTATTAGACATTGATTTTTCAATGTCTCATTTTGTGTTTTGATAATCATGGCTGATGATGTGTGTTCTATCTTTCAGGAACACTTGATCCAACTTTACAAGATGTTGAAGGTCGACCTAGGAAAGATATTGCAACTATTGTACATATATTGAACGATCTGTTAGGAGCTTCACCACACCTTCATACCTGCCGCCCGTTTTTAGTTCAACATCCTACCCCCAGGCGGCACTACCACAGAGAACCCACAGGTAGGTCAAGGTCACTTGACATCCCAGACGAAGATACGAGTCACATTCCTTTTGATAAACCTTTGATGCTTTTTTAAGTTGCTTTTCATAAGTTTTCATTTTGCATCAAATACTTCATGAAATTCATGCTTCTGACAGCTGATCAAGGTTGCCAGATAATATATACTTAATAGTAAGTGTGATCATTTTCTAATTTGCCTTTTTGAGAATATTAAGAATATTCAACCAAACTCCTTCTTTATGCTGTGAAGATTTAGAATCTACTGTGTAGTTGAACGTAAAGTTTGTGATTGTCAGCTAAGATGTATGTTTCTGTTGTTTTAGGTATGTCTAGCTCTTTGAGTCACGGCAAGTCTGAAGACACTGCTCTTCGTGGGAAGGTCCGGCAGCTGCAGATGATGATGGAGGAGAAACGTCTGCGTCGCAAGGCCAGACGTGAAATGAAGGCTCCTTACCAATGGACAAATAGCCGGTCACTCAGTGAGGATGCACCCACATACTGCCACCATGCAGCGGGCAACACGAGAGACAATGTTCCGACTCCCTCAGCTGGCCATTCGGACACGAACAAGATGGACATCCCTGATAACATGGAGTCTTCCACGTACCGAAACCCAAACTTGGAGCAGGAGACTGTTGCAGTCTGAAAGCTCTGAGATGATTGGTCGGTTTCAAATTTGGTTGACCTTTACCCAAATTAAGGTCAAGTGCTTAGCGGCATTGTTGGATGGCCCTTGAGCCTTTGTTTGGCTTGACCTTCAAGGTCATGAGCCATAATGGGAACGTATCGTAAATGGTAGAAAGAGACTCTCCATTGATTGGTTCAAATGTCTTGACGGATCTGACAGGAAGTTAGCTGCCAGGTGGATTATGGGATGGCTATGGATGCGTGGCTGACAAAAAAGCTGAGAATCTGCTGCTGGATTCCGCATCTCGGTGTATGTCATGTGACAGGAAGTGACGTCACGCCTGTTTGTCACTTAGTCTGGTGACACTCCTCACAAAGAGGCTATACCCTGTATCATTGTGTAGGGTTAGATCAGTGTAGTTCATATATTGACATACCTTTGTACATTGACTCGTTTTCTCATCTCTTTCTGCATGGTATGGACATTTCTTGTTTTCACTATTTCTTTGTTGTTATCTGATGGTGCAACTCACCTGCTTATACAGAGGGTATGTTACATGACTGCAAGCTCTCTGATTGTATATGGTTATACTCGTGTCGATTTGTTGATAACTCCAAGACTTCATGTCGGTCTGTATGGATGTGTACTTTTGGTCAATTCCTGTATATATTGATGTTTATCAGTGCTATTAATGACATGTTTAGCTGTATGTCGTACTCTAGATCCAGACCTTGAGTGATGTATTCCTCATGAAAATCATACATTGAACAGAAATTCCCATCTAAAACAAGCTCCATACCAAGTCAAATCAGGGAACTCAAAAAGAAAGATATATTTAGGCCTGCCAAAATATATAGTCTGATATATATAAAGCACTATGGTCAGATTAAATAAGTTTTATATGTCTAAGGAAGATAAACCGTTTCCGTGAATGTGCTTACTTCCACGATGAATTTTATCCATCAGTGAAGTTAACAGCTTTCAAAACTGGAAGTTCCAGTGTGAAAAATATGAAGTCCAAGATGCTGCTGTTTGTCTACTGTTCACAATTCTAGTATGATTTAATTAGTTAACATAATTACAAGAATGATCTACACATACTATTAAATAGAACAATAAGCTCATTAGTAATGTTATAAATGATGTATGCAATACGTACCACGATTATGATGGAGCAGAGAATCAAATATGGATCGATGATGAAGGAATATTATAAGTTGTGTGGAAAACATCACTCTGTTCAATATGTACTATTATTTGTTAGCTATGTTAGCTTCATCACATTAACAGATTGAACTATCTGTACAACAGTTATTGGTGTTTGTGCTGGCACAAATTTCAATTAGTCACTGTGACATGTAGAAAAAGATGTGTGTTTAATATTGTTGAAACAGCATTTCTTACTTTTACATTTTACACATTTTTATCTGATCTTCACTTATGAAATCATATTGTAGTGTTCATGTATTCACTGTTGTTGTTAAAGTCTGAATAAGGAGTGAATGTGAATGGATTATCAGATATAGAAAACTGGAAGTAATTCTTAACATATATCTTACTTCAGCAACCGAAAGCAATCTACTATATTAATGGTTTGGTTTCCATAGTGACAGAAAGTTATCTCCAAATTTCATTTGATTTGTTTTAAAAATATGAAGGTAGTTTTGAGGAAAACCTTACTTGATAAAGGATGAATCAAGGTAATTTGCGTTCAACTGTGCATGTCATAATGGGCATATCTGTAACAATAAGTAATTATCTTTTTTCTAAAATAATCCTGTATAGCACCATTGTAATTAAAATTACAATTTAATTTTTTTGGTTAATATCAATAACTGTTCTATATGAGTCTTTTTCAATGCCTCCATAAAACCGAGGCATATATCATTTCATATAATAAGAAAAAGAAATGAATAAATATTAACAATTTAATTATAGCATGTAAGTGACACATTTGTATGAAATATTACCAAGGAATGGTTTCTGATACAATATTGTTTTACATGTGAAAGAGAATTAGTTTTCAGTGTTCTGAGTTTTATTAATGACTTTCTTCCACTATTAAGGAAAAGTATATGGTTAGTATTGCTTCAGTGACCCGTGTTCCTGTTTCGGTATTTGTTGTTGCGATCGTGTGTGCACATCCACCTCGCGCCACACCACTTATGTGCCACACACAGATATGCTGTCAGTGACCAAAATCCATCGAAAAAATGTTATCTGTATTAAGAAAAATAGATATTTAGCATGTGTGTAATGATAGAAATGCTAAAAATATACAATGTATTTATGTTTCATAGATATACTATGTATATCTCCAATTCCAATCTGTAAATGAAACTTTAATGAATAATACGAAAATAGGTTGCACAAATTACAGTGAATGAAAAAATGATTTGATTATTAATCACAATGTGCAGTATGTGCAACTTTTTTTTTAAATTTTAAGAATTTTGCAATGAAACAAAAATCAAAAATATTTTTGACTTTTTCATTCCGAATAATGATATGATTCATATCATATTAGTTCCTCTATTAAAATTGTGATTATCTTTAAATAAAAACCATCACATGTATATCTACATTATCCCCTTTTCATACAGACAGTTTGTCAATTCCCACAAGGTAAAATCAGTGGGTGATATATGTTTTGTTTTCTTTATTAGAAATGACATATTACAATTTTCAATCAATATTTACCTGTCTTTACATTTGGAAAAGGACACGTAGTCAGGTGTGAATAAGGGACCAGTCATTTGTTACAGAGATGGAGGGTATGAGGTGTTTGGTGAACACCTAAAAACCTAATGAATGAAAGTAAGGGGTGGGGGCTGGTTTGCTCCACCCTGATCCTCTCTGACTCCCCCCTCTGTAATAAATGACTAGTCCCAATGATTGACTGATTTACAAAAGAGTGGTGATTTTTCATATTTATTTGGTTTTATTTGTCAGCTGACCTGACATAATATTATGTGCATAAATATCTAAAACAAAATGATAATGACATCATTTTGAATCATTTGCTGCATCATTCTGTGTTTTGTAACATTATGCAGACTGCTCTTACTTCTCTATAGAATGGCCTGATGATACGTAAAACTTCAGATAACCATAATCACGATATATAGTTCTTATAATGGAATCATATTTGTTCTAGCGATATTGCAGTTGCAAAGTGTTTCAAAACAGAGGTGACCCTTTCCTTGATTTATTTTTGTTCAACTTATTTCTTTAAAATATGTTTGTTTGATGGAACTGATGAAATTGAATACTTCATATTACTTCAAAAACATTTATGACGTGTATCACTGATATTTTATGTTTAGTTTTGATTCTGTGCGGGATGCTTTATTAAAGCCAGTTAGATCCTTCTTGGTTTTATTCAGAAGAAGGATGAATCGTTTCTTGATTAAATTATTTCTCAGACAAATGGATAGTAAGAAAATTCCAGTGGTGAGATCAAAGGGAATTAGACATACTGGTTGACATTATCTGTGAGTCTGTAAACATGTGCAAGTAAAACATGTGTTTACACAGGTAAAGCTGTAAACCAGAGTTGTCCCCCTTTAATTAACATTAAACTGATCAAGTTCTGATTTCAATGTTTTTCAGTGTTTACTGAATTAAAACAATAAGCTATGATAAAGGAATTGTATTTTAAATATATTACTTGGTAAATATTAACGGTTATTTATTACATTTCATATACAACTGTACTTTTGAGAAGTTGAACATACGGTCAAACATTACCGTGTTAAGTGGATTTTTAAGTTGTGGGTTTTCTTTAGATTAATGTGTTTAATGAATTTATTTGTCCATTTTTAGTGGATGATAACTCATCACTATGCTGAGAAAACTATTTTTGTTGGAAGGTATATGTGTGTGGTTTGAATAAGGTTGGCAAATGACATGTTAATGTGATTCCCCAGTAGGAACCTTTTATATTATATTAATTTACCTAGCAATAAATATCACTCAAGCTGTATTAGATGAGTTGTCTTCTCTTTGGACTTGATTACAGTGAGTGAGTGAGTGAGTTGGTTTTATAGCGCCTTTGTAGGCAGTATTTCATTTATGTCAATGCACATGGGCTTGCAGTGGGATGAAAGCCTGAAATGACGATGAAATGATGCAGGCCTCAGACATTTACCATTTTGGTGATGCTGACGAACCTTAAAAGGTTATTAGGCAAACTGGGATTTGAACCTAGAATCATAGGTTCCTTACTGCCAAAGGGACACAACTCTGCAGAATAATTGTGGTCTCTTAGGTTAGTGGACTACCTGTGCCTCTTATGGGTGTAGTGAGGTAGCACAGTTGTTGGTGTGCTGGACTGTCAAACCTCAGACCTGGGTTTCATTCCATTGTTGTTATGGCTGGTTATGCTATGCTGTGTCACCAAAGTAGAACACTAGGACATGGGTTTATCAGTTAGATGTGGATGCCGCCAGTTTACATTCTGCACTCATCAGTTGTTGTAGTTACAATGACACCAGGAGTGTCGGCCATGCTGACATTGTCATGTAACATGAGTGCGTTGGGATGTAACAGCCTTGCTGTGGCTTGTCATTAATGTCATAGAATAATGCTGTAACAATATCACTGCAAGCAATGGTATAAATCATAAATAACACCACAACCAGTAATGGAATAACACATAAACAACATCATAACCAGTGATGGTATAACATATAAACAACACCATAACCAGTAATGGTATAACACATAAACAACACCATAACCAGTGATGGTATAACATATAAACACCACCATAACCAGTGATGGTATAACATATAAACAACACCATAACCAATAATGGTATAACACATAAACAAAACCATAACCAGTAATGGTATAACACATAAACAAAACCATAACCAGTAATGGTATAACATATAAACAACACCATAACCAGTAATGGTATAACACATAAACAACACCATAACCAGTGGTGGTATAACACATAAACACCATAACCAGAAATGGTATAACACAAACAACATCTTAACCAGTAATGGTATAACACATAAACAACACCATAACCAGTGGTGGTATAACATATAAATAACACCATAACCAGTAATGGTATAACACATAAACAACACCATAACCAGTGGTGGTAAACAACACCATAACCAGTAATGGTAATGGTATAACACATAAACAACACCATAACCAATAATGGTATAACACATAAACAAAACCATAACCAGTAATGGTATAACATATAAACAACACCATAACCAGTAATGGTATAACATATAAACAACACCATAACCAGTAATGGTATAACATATAAACAACACCATAACCAGTAATGGTATAACACATAAACAACACCATAACCAGTAATGGTATAACATATAAACAACACCATAACCAGCAATGGTATAACACATAAACAACACCATAACCAGTAATGGTATAACATAACACATAACATAATGGAAAACAATACCATAACCAGTAATGGGTATAACATAGAAACAACACCATAACCAGTAATGGAATAACACATAACACAAAAACCACCATAACCAGTAATGGTATAACATATAAACAACACCATAACCAGTAATGGTATAACACATATAAACAACACCATAACCAGTAATGGTATAACACATAAACAACACCATAACCAGTAATGGTATAACACATAAACAACACCATAACCAGTAATGGTATAACATAAACAACAACACATAACCAGTAATGGTATAACATATAAACAACACCATAACCAGTAATGGTATAACATATAAACAACACCATAACCAGTAATGGTATAACATATAAACAATAAAAACCATAACTAGTAATGGTATAACATATAAAAAACAACACCATAACTAGTAATGGTATAACATATAAACAACACCATAACCAGTAATGGTATAACATATAAACAACACCATAACCAGTAATGGTATAACATATAAACAACACCATAACCAGTAATGGTATAACATATAAACAACACCATAACCAGTAATGGTATAACATATAAACAACACCATAACCAGTAATGGTATAACATATAAACAACACCATAACCAGTAATGGTATAACATAATCAACACCATAACCAGTAATGGTATAACATACACAACACCATAACCAGTGAGGGTATAACATATAAACAACACCATAACCGGCAATGGTATAACATATAAACAACACCATAACCAGTAATGGTATAGCATATAATCAACACCATAACCAATAATGGTATAACATATAAACAACACCATAACCAGTGATGGTATAACATATAAACAACACCATAACCGGCAATGGTATAACATATAAACAACACCATAACCAGTAATGGTATAGCATATAATCAACACCATAACCAATAATGGTATAACATATTAACAACACCATAACCAGTGAGGGTATAACATATAAACAACACCATAACCAGTAATGGTATAACATATAAACAACACCATAACCAGTAATGGTATAGCATATAATCAACACCATAACCAATAATGGTATAACATATTAACAACACCATAACCAGTGAGGGTATAGCATATAAACAACACCATAACCAGTGATGGTATAACATATAAAGAACACCTTAACTGGCAATGGTATAACATATAAACAACACCATAACCAGTAATGGTATAGCATATAATCAACACCATAACCAATAATGGTATAACATATTAACAACACCATAACCAGTGAGGGTATAACATATAAACAACACCATAACCGGCAATGGTATAACCAGGGATACTCTACAACAGATATAGAGTCTCCCTGGTATAACATATAAACAACACCATAACCAGTAATGGTATAACACATAAACAACACTATAACCAGTAATGGAATAACAGGGAAACAACACCATAACCAGCAACAGGAACTACACCATTATTAGCAATGAAATAACAGAAATACTCAATGGATGCTAAAGTAGACGCAACAACTTTAACCTATTATTCATGCACTTTAAATAATGACTGAGCAAAAATTGTTGGTTATTCAATCCATGCAAAAACTGGGTCAAAAACATTATAGGGTGGAAAAGCAAAATTATTACAAGCGTAGATCTATTAAGATATTACTGACGACATAATGGATCACATATATATCAGCATTTATCATAACAAACATCAACATTGGAATTCGAAATAGATATATCATACTCTAATAAACATGTTGGAATAATAATGATTTCTAAAAAGATGTATACGGTATTTACTTAACGTGTCTGTTTGTTATCTTGATTCGAACCCGCTTTTCGGAAAGACGATTGCTTTGAGTTGCATTTAAGCGATAGTCCTGAAAGAGTTATGCCCCCTGAATGAATTTCAAGGGAGGTAAACGAGTCAAATATGTCCGGTTTCGCCTGGCGCAGGTGCGTGAAACGAGTGGTATATTTAAAAGTAGATTTGGGGGGTTATTAGTGGATGTGGCTTCCGTACTGCTACTACTATGAGTTGTAAGCAACAAAATACAATGTTAGGGACGGACAATACTGGCAAATAATCTAACTGTCAGTGAGAACAGGTGCTTGAGGAGAAGACATTCGAAAAGGTTCTGTCCAACGAAGAAGCAGAATATTAATAATCCACAGTCACTGGATAGTGGATTTTCATGGGGTCATTTTGTAAACATATCACTCTCTCCGACTTGTTTAGTTACAACACACTTTTAAATCATGCGAGATTATGGCCTGATAAAAATGTTCACAATGTCAGCAGCTTATGTGATGAAACCTGTGTCTACATTCAAATTTCGAACTAGTGAATTATTTTGTGGGCCAGTAACTTTCAGGCATAGCTAGCCCAACTGGCTAGCAAAATTTGGAAACTATTTCGCACACTCTGCTGTAGTAGTTTGATTTTGTGCTCCATATTTTTAGTTTGGGGTTTGGCATCAGGTAATTGTTTTCCTAACCCAGAGACATGTTTCTTACAGTCATAAAAACCTAGTTGGAAAATTGTAGAATGCCACAATAAACTCCCTCCCTAATTTACAATTTTCTATTTTCTAATACCTCGTGGGTGGGGAGTCCCAGGTGTCTAAAGTTTCACAAGACATTGTGCAGAGTTGCATCTCTTAGGTATGCGAGAAACCAGATAGCATTCAGACGTTGGTTTTGCCAACATTGCCAACGTTGGACCAATGCCCGAACGCTATCTGGGACTGTTTTTGTGTAAGTTATGAACCATACCTGTGCCAGCTTTCGAAATACCTGCCTGCCCGACCGTCTGGGACAGGTTATTTTCAACACGGACTGCCAGGTTCTCAAAATCACCTGCCTGACGGTCAGGTTAAAATTTAGACATATATTTTGTGGGCAGGTAAGTTTTGGTCAGAGTTGGCAAGTTTAAATCTTACCAGCCCTCTGGTCTGGCTGAAATTTTTGGGAGTTTCATACCCTGCCTGTGCTCATGGTATTCACCTTATATAGGGGTGCGGTAGCCTAGTGGTTAAAGAGTTGGCTTGTCACGCCAAAGACCCGTATTCGATTCCCCACATGGGTTCAATGTGTGACTGTGAAACCCATGTCTGGTGTCCCGCCTTAAATTTAACTCACTTTTCACCATATATAGCTGGCACACAGGGAAATTACAGGTCTAGCACCTGACTTTAATTACAGAAGATCAGCCCACAGTTCTTCTGCAGATGACTGGAGCTTCAGGTCAAGGGCAGAACAATCCTCTTGCAGCTGTCTTCAGTCAGCCATGAATTTTCTTCAGCAGCTGATCCGCTTTGTTCGATTGTTCATCCGACTCAGGCCTAAAAAGTATCTTCGAGCTGCTGTTGTCGTCATTGGCCTAGCAGTTATCTACACTGTCTGTGAGTATGGTGTGGTGGTATTGTTTGATTCATAATATACACTCACGTAACCTTGATTCGTGGATATAAGGGAAGACAATCATGTTTTAAATGCACAATTTCAGTGTAGTATAGTCAGTATAGTCTCTGATTATTTTATTCACTGATTCATCCAATTGAAAATGTGTAATATTTCACTCGTGAATGAAACGTTTCTTTACCAAAGCCATTTGCAATCATTACCCATTCGTGTGCACACGACCCCTGGTTAGAATTGATCTTCAGTAACCCACGCTTGTCGCAAGAGGTGACTAACGGGATCGGGTGGTCAGGCTCACTGACTGGGTTGACACATGTCATCGTATCCCAATTGCATAGATCGATGTTCATGCTGTTGATCCTTGGATTCTCTGGTCCAGACTCGATTATTTACAGACCGCCGCCATATAGCTGGAATATTGCTGAGTGCGGCGTAAAACAAAACTCACTCACTCGTGTGCACACAAAATGTGACGTCACCTTATTTCGTGAATTAGGTTGTTGGTTACAATATATCACTATGACAGCCCATTGCAGTAAGTATTGACACCTAGGAAAGCAGACGATGAGATGTGTGAAGGTTGGTGCTAACGGTATCTTTTTTACTTGACATTTTTGTGGCATTAGTGATCTTGGTCTGTTTATCTGAGTGGTGGACAATTAGATTTAGTGTACTTACGTGAAATGCAGAGATTCAGAACATTTTTCTGAGCGAGGCACTGCAATGTGTGTACATCAAAAGTACCGCTTTGTGACGTCATACAAGACTTAATTTACATGAATTTACAAGATAGCATGATAATTACCGTGATGTATAAATCAAGTTTATCCACAATTTTAGGTTACGGTTCTGTAGTGATTGTTTCAGTATGTACTACTCAAACTAACATTTGACCATGCTGATATGGGTTTTCTGAGAGCCTTCATTCAAGCTTCATTTCAAGCAGTAACAGAAAAAGAAACAAAACTATATACCTTCTTGTCTCCTGACTTGTAAGGACCGACTCCATGGTGTAGTGGTTAGAGCGTCCGCCCAGAGAGCGGAAGGTCGCGGGTTCGATCCCCGATCGTGTCATACCAAAAGACGTTAAAATATGGTACTTGTTGGTCCCTGCCTGGCGCTCGGCATTAATGGGTACAACAAGGACTGGTCGGCTCGGAGTCAGTATAATGTGTCTGAGTGGGGTATTCAGGCTTCACTGCGGCATGGTATCTCAGTGGGCTAGCACTATAAAACCAGCTTAAGTCTGGGCTAGTACAAGCAGCTGCACATACACATACACACGCATGCACGTCGTCATATGAGCGAAATATTCTCAAGCACGATGTTAAACCCAATTTCACCTCACCTCACCTGACTTGTAAGTAGCAACTAATGGGATTGGGTGGTGAGGCTTGCTGACTTGGTTAACACGCCATCGTATCCCAATTGCGTAGATCGATGTGCATGATGTTGACTGGATTGTCTGGCTCAGGTTTGATTAATTCCAGACCGCTGCCATATAGCAGGAATATTGCTGAGTGCGGGCGTTAAACAAACAAACAAACACAGAGCTGAATCATCCTTTGTTCAGACTTTGGATCAAGGACTAATTTTAAAACATGCATTGTTGGCAGCAAGGGATATGACAACCCTAACACGACATATATAACTGACCCTAACATTCCTTCAGGGAATATTGTGTAAAAGAATCATACCAAAAGAAGCACCAATAAACCAAACAACATCCTGGAATTCCAATTCAATATTTTGACTTGAAAGCATGAGAAACTTTATTCTTGAAACAAAGTTATATTAGGATGTTTCTGACCCATTGCCTTTTAAACATTTATCTTTTCAGATCGCATCTTGGAATCAAAGGGATTTATGTATGGAGACCCATATGTGGTAGGTGATCATTTCTAAGCCTCAGTTGAGTGCTTCATATGACTCCTTTATGTGTAGCTAACCTTGATTGAAAGTTTAAATGTACTGCTGCCAGTACCAAACAATCTAAGCTTCTGATTAGAATTGGTACCAAACAATCTAAGCTTCTGGTTAGAATTGGTACCAAACAATCTAAACTTCGGGGTTAGAATCGGTACCAAACAATCTAAGCTTCTGGGTTAGAATTGGTACCAAACAATCTAAGCTTCGGGGTTAGAATCGTACCAAACAATCTAAGCTTCTGGGTTAGAATTGGTACCAAACAATCTAAGCTTCTGGGTTAGAATTGGTGCCAAACAATCTAAGCTTCTGGGTTAGAATTGGTACCAAACAATCTAAGCTTCTGGGTTAGAATTGGTACCAAACAATCTAAGCTTCTGGGTTAGAATTGGTACCAAACAATCTAAGCTTCTGGGTTAGAATTGGTACCAAACAATCTAAGCTTCTGGGTTAGAATCGGTACCAAACAATCTAAGCTTCTGGGTTAGAATCGGTACCAAACAATCTAAGCTTCTGGGTTAGAATCGGTACCAAACAATCTAAGCTTCTGGGTTAGAATCGGTACCAAACAATCTAAGCTTCTGGGTTAGAATCGGTACCAAACAATCGAAGCTTCTGGGTTAGAATTGGTACCAAACAATCTAAGCTCCTGGGTAAGAATCAGTACCAAGCAATCTAAGCTCCTGGGTTAGAATCAGTACCAAGCAATCTAAGCTTGTTATACAAAACTACAATGTGTGACACAATGGAACCATTGGGGTCTTTTAAGGATATATAATCAGAAATATCATCGTTGTGAAGAATGATAAAGGATTATTGGGAAAAAATTGTGTCATAAAATATCTTGAACTCTTATGATGAAGTAAAGTTTTAATTACACACACAGTAACCAAAATGAGGTCTTGATTCATGGACGGTGCCACTACTGAATAATATTCAGAATGCTGTTTTTATTTGTGCTCCATGCATGAATGTCTGACCACTTGCTACATTGAAACATGGTGACTTTCTCATCATTTTTGGTCAAACTTCATTCTCTGATATTATTTAGTTCGCGATTTTCAATCTCAATTATCCCTATTGATAGCCTTTGTCATGTTGAAGACACGGGTCCGATTCCTCACAATTGTGAAGCCCATTTCTGGTTTCCCAATATTGCATATTGTGGAACACTTGTATCCAACCCTACACAACAGTATTGTCAGAAGCTAACCTTCAATTGTAAATTATCACTAGCCTATTGGTACTCACCCACATGAGTGCAGTTGACCTCCCTTTTGCTTGCCCTTCCTCTTGTAGTGGAACACTTGTATCTCCTTAATTGAAGCTCCTTCAATGTAAAATCACTAATTGGTAACCCAGAGTTGCCTCCCCTGCCACCCTCTGGCCTCATGCTTCACTCTCTCCTTCTTAAGCCCAGTGAGCAGGATGTGAGGCGCCTGTGTCTCCTTACACACTATATCCTTTGGTTTTCTTAGTTAGTTACCTCTTATAGTTTACTATAAAGGTATAGCTAGTATCCTTCATTAATTTGCATTGATAATTAATCGTTATTTCTACTGTTTATTCCGCGTGAGTTAAGTGATTGTTCAGCTAGTATTACGTTGATGAAAAACTGTACTATTTGTAGATTACGTTTTTCCGCTGCGCGGATCCATGTAGTATGCCCTAGTTGTACTACGCCTTGTGCGTTTGATTCACGTTGCAGTTACTGCATTAATTTAACCAATTCTGCCTTTAATAAATACCATCTTTGCGTCTTGAGGCGTGTTGCAGATAGGTCCGCGCCAAACTAGGTGTAGACATGGCCGATACATCGGATTTCCCATCCAGTCAGCTGCTGTCGGCGATCCCCTCCCGTCTGGTGTTCTGCTTGAGACCCCATCGGAAGAGGGCGTGGGATGCAGTCCGTCACCTCTAAGAAGCGACCGGCCTCCCCAGACATCCCGTCCATCGCAGATAAAGTCCAAGAGGGCCTCAGCGTCTTCTCAACGCAGACTTACGTACCCCCAGGGCAGCGTCATCCTCCAAAGGGAATTCTACGAAGTCATCGAGAACTTTCTCAGCAGAGATCGTTCCAGCAGCAGAATTGGGCCTCTACGATGATCAACCAATCATCATACCCGACATAATACAAGAAGCGACCAGTGACAGCGACAGTGACTTCAGCAGAGATCACCATGCAGCCTGATGCCTCTACACTGATGTCAGGCGAGATCGCGGAGGGCCCCACCGCTATCAGCGCAGAGAGGGGCACCATCTACTACGCCGCCAGATCATCCCAGGCGATCTAATGAAGCAGATCATGATCATGATGGAAGGCCACTACAGACTGGAGAAGCAGCCATCCCAGGGTCCGAGCCTTGGCGAAGGCTCCAACGTGAACAGCACCCCAGAGGCACCCCCAGTCAGCGTAGCAGCCCGCGACGATGCGCCTTCGCGAAGGAAGTCACAGACCACCTCCACGAAGGACCCAGATGTACAGCCTTTCGGCCTTCGGCAGGCAGGAAAGATCATCACCCTCTTTGGCGTCATACTCAGATCACGGAATCTGATCATCAGACCTCACGGAAGCCTTCGCGAAGGTCATATCACCGTTCCCCAGGACCGGACGCAGAGGAAGCTTTGCGAAGGCGTTCGCGAAGGACACCTGAACCCAGATCGTCATCATCATCTAAAAGGACATCGAGGGACTACACAAGAGCTTCGCGAAGCTACCAACGGTCCCCTCATAGGTCGCCAAGAAGATCAACCTATCGATGTAGATCACCAAGGCGATCGCCCTCGCCGATCCTGCGCGCCGATCTCCACGTATATCACCACATCGATCGCCTCACAGGTCTGCACATAAGCCTACAACTAGATCTCCACAAGCGTCAAACGATATAGAGATAGAGCCACACAGTCCTACATCAGAAGAGCAACAACCTCTCATTTATGATGATGGAATGGAAGATGATGGAGGAATTATTTTCTCAGATGCAGAGATAAGATATTGGATGGTCAATAATCTAGATCTCTCATCACCTTCCAAGAGTGGCAATTAGAGCAGACTTATCTGATGAAAGAAGGCGATGCAGATGCTATTACACTACCCCAATCGACCCGATTAGCGGCGGTACCACAGAACCTAGATACAGCATTCAACAAAGCCCGCGAAGGTTCAAACACCACATCTGCCAAACTTTCACGCCAAGAAGTTCTCCACATAATATGGACCCCTTCTTCAAAGGCATAGAAGACATCGATGAGAACTACAAGCTGATCTCTGATGCCAAGAACAAGTACTACAAGATTGATGATCGAAAATTGGTTCAGATAGAAACCATGGCGGTATGTTCTTTGGTCTAAATAGATCTAGAACAATAAATGAGACACTTATCACCAGATTTAGTAACCACGACCTCTGAAGATGATAGAATGATTTACTTTCGGCCCTACTAATGCAAAGAAGGACCAGCAGTTCTTAACAGATCATCTCCGTCTGTCTCAGCAGCACTGACCTTAGCTTCGTCGTCAAGGCCTCCTCGCTTCCTGCAACTGGGGTGAGAACTTTACAGCTCCACTATATACAGCCCGTGGTCTTCCCCATCCATCTTTGATGGAGGAATAGACAAAGTCTCCAAGGAAGTCACCAAGGATTCCAGAGAAGTCCTGATGATTAAATCGATGGACACGCTAGCCAGTGTCATTCGACAGACTTCACAAAAGATACTCAGGGAGATCTAAATTCACGGGCCTACAAAGAGCAAGAGACAGGAAGATAGCCAGTTCAGGGGAAGAGATTCTTTTAAATTAAGCCCATATGGCAACTATAGAGGAGGGTCAGGAAGAGGCAGGACACCCAGAGGTTCCCGCAACTATAAACGCTGAAAGACAGGTTCGGAACGACTGGAGTCTTCCACCCCCAGCCGTTCCAGTACAACCGTCACAAGTGGGTGGACGTCTCCAACTACACTGGGAAAACTGGGGAATACTTCAAGACACCTATGTCTCCAACATTCTTCAACGCGGATTTCGTATCCCACTACAGGCCAAGCCTCCACTAACAGTCAACCCTCCCAAGTTCGAGGTACAGGCACAGCAACTACTAAAGTTAAGAGAGGCTGTTACATTACTCCTAACCAAGCAGGCCATAGAAGTAATAGATCAAGGAAACATCGAACCAGGTTTCTACTCCCCAGTTTTCCTAGTACCCAAGAAAAACTCCAAGGAGAAATACAGACTCATTTACAACATGAGCTTCTTCAACAAGACTTATCTAGAGTTACTGGCCTTACTACGTGCTTTCCGATTGGAGGACCAAAAGCGGAAGTTCCACGCCCCAGCTTGGGATCTGAATGTAGTGCTACAACACCTCACAAGTGAGGATTATGAACCATTGGAATCGACAACCTTTGAATTTCTCTCACAGAAAACAATTTTCCTGTTATCACTAGCCACGGCAGCCAGAATATCTGAAATTCACGCTCTAGATTATGAGAGGATACAGTTTGATGACAATCAAAACACAGCGCACCTGGGATTAAGATGGGATTTCATCGCCAAAAATCAACTACCAGGACAACCAGACAGGTTATTTCATCGTCCCTGCGCTATCCTCGATTCTCGGATCTCAAGATACATTGGACTTATCTCTATGCCCAGTAATGGCTCTCAAAATCTATTTACATCGTTCCAAAACAAGGCGAAGATCGCTCAGAAGATTGTTCATCCCGTTATAAGCCTACTAATCAGACAGAAGTCTCTCGTACCACCATATCTATATGGATAAGAACTGTCATTCTCTGGCGCCTACAAGGCAGCAGGACTGGACCCTCCAACAGCATCAAATCCACATGAAATCAGGGCATTGGCCTCCACCCCGCCCTTCACGGTAACTGTTCATTGAATACAATTATGGAAGGATGCTTCTGGAAATCTAACATGGTGTTTGCTAATCACTATCTGAGAGATATCACCACCGAGGACGTCTCTGGCATTCACCATTTCGGTCCTTTGGTCCTCGCTCAGCAACTGACAGTCCCTCGTAGGCGTTAATATTCACCCCCACGAGATTATTATGTATATTATACATACATTATTTAGCTTATAACTCCACAGAGTTCTAGGGCTATGTATATATTTAGCTTAGGTTATTCAACCTTAAGCTCATACTGAGTTTTATGTTCAGTTGTACAGCTTCTCTATCAGAGTAGCTTGTTATATCTATAATTTGGTATATCAGTCTATTAGTAATGTAATACCCCAGTATGGTATATATAACCTATGGCTTATTATAAGGAAATATCCTAAGTCAATACCTTTATGAAGTTCCCGCAGGGGTTATTACAGTATAAGTTATTTAAATCACTAATTATTAATCCAAAGTATTCTGTTTATGCCCACCACCACTCCGGTGGATTCTACAAGCAAAAGAGCATGAGTCAGGATAAGGAAAAATATGTAATTTTTTGAGTAAAATTGATATTTTATACTTATCCTGACTCATGAGGTTAGCCCTCCCATCCTCCCCACATAACACTTTGGATTTCCCTGTAAATTCAAGTGTTGGGCTCGCAAATCAGGAGAGAGTGAAGCATGAGGCCAGAGGGTGGCGACACCTGTTCCCGCGCTTGCGGCAGGGGAGGCAACTCTTGGGTGAGTACCAATTAGTGATTTTACATTGAAGGGAGCTTCAATTAAGGAGATACAAGTGTTCCACTATGTTCGCAAGAGGAAGGGGACAAGCAAAAGAGCATGAGTCAGGATAAGTATAAAATATCAATTTTACTCAAAAAATTACATTTCTGGTGTCCCCCGCTGTGATATTGCTGGAATATTCCTAAAAGTATTGTAAAACCATACTCACTCACTTATAGGTAAAATCCTTGCTTTTCTGCCCTAGGAACGCTGGTGTCAGTATGAGGAGGTTCCAGAGTATATGTTGAGGAAGGAGCCTGATGAGATTACCATAGTAACGGCTTACGTCAACCTGGGCATATATAAGAAGGGACAAGAGTTTGGTGCTTATTACACCCCATTTAAATACAAACAGTGGATGCGGCCTCTGGGAAAGATGACAAACCCTGTCATCGCTTTCATGGAAGACGATGATGCCATAGCATATTTTAGAAAGGTTCGGTCTTGTTTGCCAGCCTCTCATACAAGGATTATCAAGTTTAACAGAAACGAGATGTGGTCTTACGGCCTTATTGAAAAAATTAAAGAAATATATTCGAAAAATAACTATCCAAAGCACTATCCGAACACAGTGAATCCTGAATACACGTGTGCTATGCATGCCAAGTATGAATTTATTCAAACGGCACTAGATATGGATGTGTTTAGAACACCAGCGTTTGCTTGGCTGGACATTGGCTACTTTCGAAACTTGGACAAATCGGGAACAACGTTTTTCAAACTTCTACCCCCAAAGAAATTCAACACTGAGAAGGTAGGATTATCACAAGCATGGCCTCACGACCCCAATATTGACCCCAAGGTTGTGATGAGAAGTAACTTGGTGTGGGTGTCGGGTGGCATCGTTCTGGGCATCAACGCAGACTCTTCAAGGTTTTGTCCAGCAGTACAAGTGGACAGTGGAGACGTTGCTGAAGGATGGCCTGTCGAACAGTGACCAGCAGGTCATCTACGCCATGTTTTCCACGTCCATGCGTCACCGTTACAACAAGAAACAAATCAAGATACAGAGCTACATGTGTCGGCAGGGCCAGCTAGGACTCTATGGGCCAGACGCAAGATATTTCTGCCTTGGCTTCTTGTGTAAGAACATATGGGAAGGTATACACAAGGAGGGTGGATAGGTTGTGGTAGACCTTTATTTAAATACAGTGAACTATGTTCGTAACAAACTTACTGAAGAAACTCTTTTAGGGGTCACTACCATTGTATATTTTAGTCAAAATGTTGATGACGAACTTCTGTTGTAACGAACGCAACATCGCATTCCCTTTGAGTTTGTTACAGCCATAGTTTACTGTATTTGAGGTTTTTTTCCATGTGCTTTTATAGTATTACAGAATTTACACTTAAGGTGATTTATTTTCTTTTATATTTAATAATGGGAATGAGTATTTATCTATGTTTTGATAAAAATATGATTTAGATGATTTTTTATGTATGCCTAACGTTCCACTCTTTGTGAGGGGTGGTGGGTTTAATGTGTTCACTCATGATGCTGAAGACCTGGGTTTGATTCCCCACATGGGTACAAAGTGTGGTGCCTATTTTTACAGTGTGAAATGATCTTGTCACTCTTTTCCTCTGTAAGTTTCACAGTCATTGTTTCACAATTTATGTTGAAATTTTAATAGGAAATTTCCCTTGTTGGGTTTAACACTGACTTATCAGGATGGATAGTGAAGTATAACGAATCAAATGTACAGTGTTTTCTACATTTCTCTTACACAACTGTTCATCTTCGCCATCAAACAAGGAGTCGTCAATATATCCTGTGTTGGCAAAGCCATGTTTTCTTAAGTAAGAGACTGCCTCTGATGGTGTAGTGGTTAGAGCGTCTGAATGGAGAGCGGAAGGTCGCAGGTTCCATCCCCAGCCGCGTGTCATACCAAAAGACGTTAAAATACAGTAGAACACGGATATAACAAACTCCAAGGGACCAAGAAATTTAGTCCGCTATATCCGTTGTTCGTTATTCACATTTGACCGCCATCTTGGATTGTAGAGATGTAGAGACATGTATATGCTGAGGCTACAAATCTTTATTCTTGTACATGTACATTGACATAACATTAAAAATCTGAATTTATCATTCACAGACATTAGCTAGAACATGTTGAACAATCACGACAATCTCAACAATTCATGTATATAACTTAATTATGTTTAACAAAGTCCACAATTTTGCTCTGCACACCACGTCTTGCAGACTTCAAGAGACTTGCAGACTTGCACATCTGCAAGAGAGTCGAAGATAGAACTATCTGTACCTTCACAAACAAGTAGATGACGTAGTGTCTCTAATGCTGCATTGGCCTCAGCAAAGGATGGCTTCGGGCGAGGTTCATCATCTTCACTATCCGAGTTGGGAGCGGGTGTGACAGTGGTCGTGGCATTTGCTGCGCTACTGACGTCACAATCTCGTCTTCAGTAGGGCGTTCGGCTGTAACAACTTGATTGTCAGCATTGATGAAGTCGTCCAACGTGACATCTGCCGGGATTTCTTCTGCTTTATCTGACAGTTCATTCCACATAACTCTGAGGTCGGAAAGAACCATGTTGTCTGTCTCATCGTCTGACGAATCTTCATCTCGCTCAGGAAGGACAAAGCCTCCCTTCCGATAGCAGTTGGCGATCGTCTTAGATGTGACCTGTCTCCAAGCGGCATGAATCATCTGGATGGCATCAAGGAGAGTGATTTGATGTTCTTTCTTCTGATCATAGGCAGTCAGCATTTTCCTCATTACCTGGCCCTTGTACAGTTGTTTCAGGTTTGCTATTATACCCTGGTCCATGGGTTGAATCTTACACGTAGTGTTCGGTGGAAGGAAGACCAGTTTGACGTGTGTCAGGTGTTTCACAACAGGATGGGCAGGACAATTGTCTACAAACATCAGGATCTTACGTTTTTGTCTTGTCATACTCTTTTCCAGGTTTTTGATCCACTCTGTGAATAATTCACCAGTCATCCAGGCCTTGGCATTTGATCTGTACGTTACTGGCAAACTGCGTACATTTTTGAAGCATCTAGGCTTTGCTGACTTCCCTATGACTAACTCCCGGACATGTTTGCCGCTACCAACAATGTTATTCTCTCTTTAGAATTTTTTCCCCCACTACATTTTTCAGATTTAAAGTGAAGAGTTCTGTTTGGTTTCATTTTGTAGAAGAGGCCAGTTTCGTCAGCATTGAAAATGTTATCAGGCTTGTACTCTTCAAGATAGCCAGGCAGGCGAGTTTTCAGCCAGTTCATTTGCCTTAGTCTGCAACATGGGACCATTTAAGGGAATGTTCTCACTTCTAGCCCCTTGAAACCATTTGTAGAGAGCAACTTCTACATCTTGGTGATTGGCAGCTCTTAACTTTTTGCAAGCGGGGCCAAAATCAGTAAGACACAGATTTTGCAAGAATAGATTCGCGATTCTTAATAATGGAACTGAGAGTGGATTTTGGAATGCCAAAGTCGAAAGCGATGTTTGTCTTAGATTTTACACCTGAATCTACAGCCTGAATTATCTGAAGCTTGGTGTCAAAAGTGATAGCTTTACGTTTGCCTGCCATAGTGACGAGAGTGAACGAAGACCTGTATACCAGTCAAGCTTTTAAACACGACATGTTTGTTTTGTTAATTAATTAATGACCATCAAACAATGTTGATTCGCCGCCAACAAGGTTGATGTATACCGCTAAGTGGCTGAGCTGACACTGAGTGAGTTCGCTAATCACGTCGTTAATTGGGTCTTGGGGGTAGTAAATCAGTTCGCTATAGCCGGTTATACGCGTATAATTTTAATGATATTATAAAGGACTATTGACGGGACTTTTAAATTTGTTCGCTATATCCCTTTGTACGCTATATCCGTGTTCGCTATATCCATGTTCTACTGTATGGTACTTGTTGGTCCCTGCCTAGCACTCGGCATTAATGGGTACAACGACTGGTTGGCTCAGAGTCAGTATAATGTGTCTGAGTGAGGTATTCATGTTTAACTGTGGCATGGTATCTCAGTGAGCTAGCACTAGAAAACCAGCTTAAGTCTGGGCTAGTACAAGCAGCCACACATACACATGCATGCACGTCCTCATATGAGCGAAATATTCTCAGGTACGGCGTTAAACCGCATTTCACCTCACCTTAAGTGAGAACACTAGTGAACTTAGTCCGTTGGGCAAACATGTATACTGGTATAGTTCATTGTCCCACAAAAAAGGTAGGTACTTCCTATCTGAACACCTTACAGGTATCGTATAGTAAGCATCCTTCAAATCCACAGATGCAAAATAACAATTTCTTCGAACTAAATACAGGGCATGAAAATATTAGAGCTGTACTCCTCTTGTGAGTGCTCACATTTTTCAATAACTCCTGTCCGAGACGTGGTATATCTCACTACTGATTTGTTCAAGTTTGTGGGTATTAAAGAGAATTGGCTTTGGAAGAAAGATTGATGTGGTATTACTGGTAAGTCAGTGAACTCTATTTGTGCTCCCATAATGAATGAAATTACCCACTTGTCTGAAGTTAGAGTTTTCCAAACATTAGAAAGGAGCAATTTTTCCTGCTACAAAGTTTTCTTTGGTATGAATAAAATCATACTCATTGTTTAATTGTTTCACCTGTATGCCGATGTGGGATACATTGTCTCCTGGGACTTTCTTTCCCCCTCCCCAGTCTGTATAAAAGGGATCTTGAACTTGTTCTGTTGTTGAGGCGTGGTGTTACAACCTCTGTGGTTTTGGAATCTGTGTCCACCACGAGTATTGTTGACTGAGTAGCCACGACTAAATTGTGGTCTGGTGCGGCCGATACCTGTCCGAGAATTTCTTCTGTGATTTTTTAACCCATCATCTTGCTGAGTTGTTTGCTGCCAGAAACTGTATTTATTTTTTTGCCAAGGTCATTTCCGAACAACCACCTACTGGTAGTGATGTTTGTTAGGCAGAGGTTTTTGTAAGTCCAACTGTGATCAGGCTTGAATCCATGTCTCCGCCTTCTGTGCAGGCCCCTAACATGAGCCTGATTGTGTCCATTGACTTGACCAAGAAGTCCTTAATGTTCACACTACTATTTCCCATGGCCGCTGACATGACTGGGATTAGCTCTTTCGTAATGGGGGCTTGTGTATGTTAGTCTTTCAAGTCGCGGGATCGAGTGTATGTCTTAGCTTCGTCCCATACCTCTTCATTGACAGCACATTGCCACAATTGACCACAACATCCGTTTCATTCGGATTACTTCAGCTGTTTCCAGACATACTCAGTGAGTCTCGCCTATGAATCTGATGTTTCAGCTTGGCAATTAGCTGGTCAGTGTGCTGTTACTGCGAGTTGATCATTGCTTGCATCATGACCTCAAGCGTGGCTAATGGCACTGAACCGTTACTCTCGCTGACCAAACAAGATGAAATCGGGCTTTGTTCACTTGACCTACTTGTGAAGTTTTGGTCATGAACTCAATCGTCAGAGATTTGATCTCCCAATGGATCTGTCGACTTGTTCGACATTTTCTCGACCACTTCAAATGACGATGGTCTATCCCTACCAACTATTGGACTTTTCAACTGGGAGAGAGCTGTACTCTTTTCTACTATTTTCCTTCCCTTTGACGCCATGATGGTCAAACTTGGACCATGGACTGTATCCGTCAGTCGGTCCCAACAACTAAGTCTCTGCAGGCTGGTGCCCCCTTGTAGACTGAACAAAACGTTTCTAGGGAAGTGTCACAAGACTCACATGCTGTTCAACAACCTTTGCTGTGACTCTGTGTTGAGGATTAATCCATCGGGCTCCTTGATAAAGCATCAACAACAAGCAGATATTTTCCTCGGGACGTACTCAGCTACAGCGTTGTATCGTTGAAGTCTTATCAGTAGTCGTTGACATCTGACAGGAACACTGTCTAAATCCTGTGCATTCATCAGTGGAACTAGAGGTCTGTGGTCTGTCAGTATCTTGAAATCTGAGAGTCCTACCACATATCGCTAAAATTTCTCACAGGCCCACACACTTGCGAGATATTCTTTCTCAATCTGAGCATACTTCACACTCTGAGTGAGTGTGCGTGATGTATATGCTACTGGTTTCAGTTCATTTCCATGCATCTAGAACAAAGCTGCTCCGAGCCCATAACTGCTTGCATCAGCTGATACAACTGTTGATAGTTTGGAATTGTAGAATACCAATACTTGTGAACTGGTCAATGTTGACTTGATCTTGGCTAAGGCTGTCTCTTGATATGGACCCCATGCAAATACTGTGTCATTCTTCAGTAGATCTGTCATCGGTTTCAGCATAGTTGCTACATCAGGAATGAATTTTCCAGGATAATTGACCATACCGACTGTACGGTGAAGCTTTCACATCTGTTGGTGGTTTGAGACTTGCGATTGCAGCCAGTTTAGCTGGGGCTGGACTTATACCGTTCTTGTTGATCAAAGTGTCCAAAGTAGACTATTTCTTTCTGTGAGACATGACATTTCTCCTTTCTTGAGTGTAAATAATACATCATCTAGTCTCGTCATGCTCTTCTTTATTCTTCCCATGCACGATGATGTCGTCCATAATTGCTTCATCACCTTCCTGTCCCTTGAGTTCAGTCATCTTACGCTGGAATATTTCCGGTGCAAATGTAATACCAAATGGTACTTCGCTTGAAGCAAAAGCGTCCAAATGGAGTCATGAACGTCATTAACTTCTGACTGTTCAGTGACCGAGGAATCTGGTAGAATCCACTTGCTGCATCCAGGTCATGAACATGGTGGGGCCTGCTAACTTAGGTGCGATGTCATCTAAGTTCGGAATCTAAGCCAGGTGTGCGAGTTGCACGTGTGAAATTGAAATTTCACTACACACACTTGTTGATTACCTGGCTGTTCTACCAGCAAGTGGTCCCCCCTCGTAAAAAATAGCAATAAGTGACAACAAAATAATGATAGTTTGTGAAACAACTTTTTTATTCCGGTGTCCAAAATTATGAGACTAAGCTGGTCTGTCGATTTCATGTAACTGTACAGTTGGTTTTGTTGCAATTACTAGATTTTGTGTTAGTGAGCAATTCATCGGTCTCAAATGGAATCAAACAGACTGTAACAGTAAATTCATGCCTTGGTGTCATGGGACCATGTTGTAATCATGCTGATATCATGTACAATGTATATAGTTCTGACTTGAATTTTGTGAACACAGTTGATACCAGGCATCTGACGCAATTAGCCAGTGAATCCACGTGTTCCTTGACTGACCTCGACTACATGACTTTACGATTTGGTCTTTAGCAGCCCAACCTTGTTGCAACAAGTGACCAGTGGGATCAGATGGTCCTGCTCACTGAGTTGGCATGTCATCCTATCCCAATTGTGTGGATCGATGCTCATTTTGTCGCCCCCTGGATTGTCTGGTCTTGACTTGATTATTTACAGACTGCTGTCATATAGATGGAACATTGCTAAGTGTGGCATTAATAATCAGTGGAAACCTGATAAGTAAAATTTCAAGGGAATAACCAAAATTGTTTACTTATCAGGTATTTTACTTATCCAAACTTATAAGAACCTGCAAATGACAACCATATGCATGTATATGTATGCATATGTAACAGTGAACAACTTATCAGGGCTGGCCTCCAGCTGTCAGTGTATTGTCAACTGCATGACGCCAGCGAGCTGTAAGTAGGATGTTTGTTTAACTGGAGACTGACACGTGCCCCTCATGTCGGATTATGTGGTAATCACTAATTTAGTTATCCAGTCTCTTTTGTTAAGTAATTTACTTCCAGGGACCGTGAGAAGACGTTTAGTTAAGCGGTATTGTTTACTTATCCGAGTTTAGTTAACCGGACTCTAATAGTGATAATAAATGAAGAAAGTTGCCGAGACCAAAGAAAAGTGTTTACTTATCAGGTCTGTTTAGTTAAGCGGTCTTTACTTAGGCGGTTTCCACTGTAATAATGTTGAAAATTTTAAACATGTTAAACAACAAACAAAACAAAACATGTCTGCATTGCTAATTTTCAGCAATGACCCCAGCCACAATCTGTCCCCAGCAGGAAGGGAAATTTAAAAAAGAGCAAAAAGTAATATTTTCTGTGCAACATGTGCCCATATGCTGTATATGGCTTCAATATGAGGCAGGGTTGAGTTCACACAAATTAGTTTTTGATGTATGTTGTTTGACTTGTGAGGTCGAACAACTCCGTCATGTGTCGTGCATGTCGGCCATGTTTTAGCAGGAGGTATAAATCATTGGTTGCTGATTAAGATGTGTCATGGTTGTGTTTTATGTGATTATGTTAAGATTAAGTTTATTGTCCTTTACATATATACTATTTATTCAGAAAAGTGGGGGCGGTGGGGTAGCCTAATGGTTAAAGCGTTGGCTCGTCACGCCGAAGACCCGGGTTCGATTCCCCACATGGGCACAATGTGTTAAGCCCATTTCTGGTGTCCCCCGCCGTGATATTGCTGGAATATTGCTAAAAGCGGCGTAAAACTAAACTCAGTCAGTCAGTCAGAAAAGTGCTATCTGAAATTTCAAAACAATTGATTCAGGGTTGTGATTTATCTGTGAAAAGGGAGAGAATATGAACTGTACTCTCAGGATACAAACTGTATCGCACATATATTATTGGGATACGTATTCTGCCTCATTGTATCGTTACACCTCTCCTGCTGAATATTATTTGCTGTGTTGTGATAGCATGAATTTTTATAGTGTTATAACCATGCATATATTATACCCAGGGCCTCATTGCGTTCATATGCAGTGTAGGCTGTAAAGAGTTACAAACTGGTACAGGACCTGCATAAGTTTAAGATTTCTTTCCACATCAAGCAATGATTAAGTAGAAGTCAAATACAGTTGTATAAATCCCAACTAGCTGTATACTTTGCATACTGCAAAGTTCTTAGTTTCATGTAAGTTTTGAGACCTTAATAGGACTGCAACAGTTTTAATGTGGTGTGAAAGTCACTATATATATATTGAATGTTGGGGTGGTCCATTATTTTTATGTTGAGTGTATAGTTTGTATAATCTGTGATATACATCGTAAACCATTATGACTGTTTACATGGGATAATATATATATAGATTACCATGTAACATATGCCACATATCCTATACATTCTCAAGCATCTATATTATACTCCAGGACAGCACTGGATGCTCCATGATGGTGCAGGGGTGGAAATAACTATAAAATTGCTAGTGTACTCCGGTACAGTGGCACATGTTGATTTTTTAAATAAGCAACATAATTAACATTTGAAAGTAAACTGGACACGGGTACAGCGTGATATACACATTTTCTTGCCCAACATAAAAAACACTGGACTGGGACGTCGGGCAATGGGTTATTTCCACCCCTGTGGTGGTGTTCAATATTTGCCAAATTCCAATAAAACTGGTAAATGTATTATATTTTTTTGCAAAAAAATGATTTTGTTTTTATTTCAATTGAAATTTGGTGATAGGTGTTATATGTATATAGTTTGAGGCTGATATTTGAGCATTAAACGATCATTCCGTTGCTTGCTGACTCGGTTGATGCCTGTCATTGTATCCCAGCTGCGAAGATCAATGCTCATGTCATTCACTGGACAGTCTGGTCCAGATCCAATTATTACTGACAGCCATCATATAGCTGGAAAATTGCTGAGTGTGGCATTAAACAACAAGCAAGCAAATGAATTTAAAGGATTATTCCAAAACGATTTTTGTGACCCAGGGTAGAATAGGTCTTCAGCAACCCATGCTTGCCACAAAAGGCAACTAACGGGATCGGGTGGTCAGGCTCGTTGACTTGGTTGACACATGTCATCGGTTCCCAATTACGCAGATCAATGCTCATGCTGTTGATCACTGGAATGTCTTGTCCAAAATCGATTATTTACAGACCGCCGCCATATAGCTGGAATATTGCTGAGTGCGGCGTAACAACTGAACTCGCTCACAGTGTTAAAGCTGCAGAAGAATGTAAACAACAGGTAAGTGCGTAGGTAAAGTAATCTTTAATTCAACATATTGTTTGAAATGACAACATGACAAAACAAAAAGAATGCTAATAGTACAGTAAATGTTGCATCCCTGAATCATGGAAAATCTGCCTCCTACCATTCAGCTTCCCAATACTGCGGTCACGCCACCGTGGAATGAGTTGATCTACAGGTCAACATGACAAAGCTGACCAATGGTGCTGTAGTAACAACCCTTGGAAACGTCAGATAAACTTAATTTAATTTAGTGTACCTGGGTAGTGTCGTCTGTATATTTTTTCTCCATCCTTTATCTGTCAAGCTCTCGTCTACCAAAACCAAATTTTCCTTACCGCAGAACACAAGGAACATAGACAATAGTTTTGTTATAGCTTAATACTTACTGATTTATACATATGAAAGGTAGGAGTTTGTAATAAATATACCACTCAAAAAGGTCAGGGATCACCGCTTCTTTCATATTTCTGTCATGGTTGAACAACTATAGATTACTACTGTCGATCTGTCATGAGAGATTCATATTTGTAACATGAATGAATCGAGTGATCCTGAACTGTTGAGTAGTATAAAAGTACCAAATACATGTTCATTTGACAATCATAACAATCATCTACAAATAAATCTTGCTACATACAAACTTGATAAATAAAGTTCTAAGTTATTAACAGGAACACAGCTGACTGTACAGGATGAGATGTTGATGTTTGTACACATGGTTATATATTAACAGGTGGGACACCATGATGAAATTATAGGACATTAACGAAGCAGACTGGATGATGAGGAATCTTACATAGGGACGATGCTCCAAGTCAGTCTGTGAATCACTAAATTCAGTTTAGAGCTGTTCTGATATACCTACTTGGCCTTGGTCCATAAGGTGTTGATAACCCTATGACACTGTCATAATTGTTTTCTGTATGGACGTCTTAATGCAAAGATGACTTGTGTGGAAATTTTAATACCACCCAGCCCAGGCTGTTCCTCATAGCATTCTTAACCCTACAACTGTCGTACGTAGATGTGAGCTATGGAAGTGTGAACTTCTGTCATCCTGACTGACTTGAGTTGATAGGTTAACAAAACAACTTCTTTATTTCACATGAAATTCAGATGCTGAACTAAAACGCATTTCCTCAGTTCATTTGGAATGCTGGGTAATTCTAATGAATTGAGTGAGTTTAGTCTGACGTCACACTCAGCAATATTTAATGAATTGGGAAGACCAAGGATGGTCTGTGAGACACATTTACTTATGTAGAAGTGATAAAATATGGACTTTGCTGAATTACAGCTTATTAAATCCTGATTATTTTTGTTTACAAATTTCTCCTTAGTAGAATCATTTTTCTTTCCAAATTTTAACAGAATCTATTTTACAATTCATTCCAGAATAAAATAACCAATAATCAAACCAACCTTTTTAAAATATCATCAGTACAAAACATGTGCCTAATCTGCTACAAAATAATGGACAGTTAACATTTTATAGAAATAATTTATATGCATAGTTTAGATGAAAGAAGGTGTAAAAGACGATGGTAATTTTAACTATTGATCTAATTATGTGACCTTTATGATTGCCCCCCAAATAAACACAATGTCAGAAATGACAAAAGTACATAACAGCTGAAAAAGGCCTAAGAGTGTCATCTGAGATTGTCTGCCAGATGCACAAATTAGCGCTCAAGTTTCTGTAGGAATAGACATCGCTTGTATATTTCCATTTTTCTAATAATGATTATCCTCTAACAGTTTCAGTTTTACATCACCATACCAATGTTCAATGTACATATTCACACATTCCAACCGGGAGAATGGCACTGTTGATACACAGACGGACAAACACGTGAACAACATCGTACAAGGCTTTAGAAGCAAGTCACGCACACAGAAGGAAGAAATCGGAGGAAACATTTAGTCAAGATATGAAGGCCAGCCATTTATATCTTTTCAAGAACCAAACAACAGAGCCTCCTTTTCTTGTATAACCAGACGACACCTATTCCAGGGTACCCAGACGACATTTTTTCCCCAAGGGTATCTGGAAGGGAAAATCATTAAAATTATCTCATTCCCCTCTGGAATTACAAATGGCGGGTTCAATTCGGCCTGTGGATTTTGTGTAAGATTTGTGTAGATCAGATGAACTTCCCTCTGTGTACACTTCTCGCGGAGACAGACACTTGAGTATAACTACAGGCAGGGGTACTCCCTGTACTTTGTACATTTGTACACACACGAATGAGAGGAAAACACTGGCAGTGGCATCTAGAGTAGAATATGGATGATAAAACTGTAATGGCTGACTTGCACTCAAGCCAAGGTAATGGAGTGTGGGACTTCACTACTGTCCTCTGTCACAAAAGATTAAGTGCTGGGATCGTACACAACTCAAAAGAAGTAGGACCTCCCAATTCTTAACTGTAAGTATTGTTAATCTGTGATGCTAGATTAACTATAGTAAAATGAAAGAATGGTCCTGTAATTTATTGAGTCATATATACAGTATAGTTAGATTTTGCACTGATCAAGTTTGAGATTGAGACACGATCTAGTAGTCGGATATTCATGTAATAATTCTTATAAAAAACATTTAAGACAATTTGATATTTGCGTAAAAGATGTACAAAATACTGAACGCAAACTCCTTGATTAAAATATTGTCAGTATGACCACATATTCATTGACATGGCCCAACATGGTTAATCTTTTCAAGATTTCTCTTCAGATACAACATTAAAACCAATTCAAGAAAACAAGTCAACAGTTATTCCTCACTTAAGATTCCCCCTCCCAATCATAAACAGTTATTCTTTGAACAACCTGTAGAATAATATTTTAAAACTATAATTGGCAATGAAACATTTTATTAATGATGTACAAATAAATAAACCACTAAGAAGCAATCAAGGAAATTGTCACTAAATACATATACTGATTGGCCAGTATCAAACATTGAATTAATTCAGTCATTTTATACTGCAAACAACAATGTGAGATAATATTGTTGGAAATTATATCCAGATAAAACCCTCATGAAATGCTCAATACATCAAAAGTCACACTAAACATTATTTAGATATTGCATTCAGAATATTTATATTCCTAGCATTTTGGAAGGATAACAATGACTACTCATGAATATGCAAATGCCATTATAAGCCAATGGTTATGGAGAGAAGTGTCCATATGCATATAGTACGACTGTTTTCATTGGACAAGACAAACCACAAGCTGCAGGAAGAAAGGCACTTTTATAAAGCCCAGTCACAGCAAAAATAAACATCACAAGAACATGAGATTAGGGCCTTTCCTAGAACTTGTAGGTCCCTTTACCTGACAGAGATACAGAAGTTTAATATTTACTCCACAACACACTCTGCAGGGATGGAGTGAGTTTTTATCAGCATATATCTGAGATGCCAGAAATGGGTCTCACACATCGTGCCAATGTCACAAGATACTGCTTCAACAGTTCCCTATCCCTCTAACCTCACTGCAAGAGAAACTCAAGAAATATATACCGGGTACTTACTTCAGAGATCCTGAAATTTTATACAAACATGTTCACAAACTTATACAAAACTTCCATTGCAGTATGACAAATACATTTTCTGTTCTTCCAGTTCCTAAATGCTATGAAAGACTTGATTTCCATGGTTACATTATTAAATCCAGAAAGGACCGATTGTGTTTGACTGTGACAGGGCTCTCTACTGACAGCAGCTTGCACACAGCTACAAGTGGCAGCCATTGGCTCAAGGCTGGAACCTTGACTACACAGGAGACTATAATGAAACTGGGAACAGGCTCCTGCTATCACACCCAAGGACTGTGGGTTGCCAGGGGTAACAGTGCAAGTTGGGGTGGGACAACAGACATGAAGTACTGGCTCAAAGTCATGTAGATTAAGGCTCTGAAAATATATAATTTTGAAACATACAACTGAATTTAAATTAGAACGGCGCCCCAGTGAGATGCAAGATCCTAAACCTGTGTAAATCAAGATGTGCATCCTATAGTGTATAGCATTTCAGTAAGGGCTAGGTGGACGAGAATATTCTGTGGCTCAGGGTGAGTGAGTAGGTCGGGCTTTTAATACTGCTTTTAGCAGTATTCTGGTTACATGACACTGTGTCAGCTGTTGTGGGAAGAAGAAAGGTATGACAGACTCAAGCTCAGTCTTTTGTGGTGGGATATGGTCCAGGTTTCTGATTTTGGCCTGATACATTTTTTCAACAGTGGACAGCTGTCCAATTTCAGTAAGTGAGTTTAATTTTATGCCGCTTTTAGCAATATTCCAGCAATATAATGGCAGGGGACACCAGAAATAGGCTTCACACATTGTACCCAAGTGGGGAATAGAACCCGGGTCTTCTGCATGACGACCTAACGCTTTAACCACTAGGCTACCCCACCGCCCCCAGTCTCAGTGTGAGATCCCAACACTGACAATTTGGGAATACATATTTTATTCAACAATTTTACTTGTGATAATGATCAGAAATATTTTTATATTTTTTCAAAGCACGTTCTGTTTTATTTTTTGTCCAAAAAGGAACAATCTGATCATGCCATTTATGATTAAATGAGAATAAATTATATGTCAACTTAAATCAAACTCCTCACCACGCCACTAACAGGGCCCACACCCTTGAACCAAAACATGACAATATAGTGCACACATTTTACCCTTTAGTCAAATGTTGCAAGGCAGGATAAGACAACATAGCAATATTCCCACTGACACGTGACGGTCAAGGAAAGAATACCCTCCTTGACCACCAATCCCAGTGAGAATGCTCAACATATACCACTCAAAAGAAGTTAAGGACACCTGAATCCTTATTATTACTACACTTAAATTGTAGTAATAGCAAATGGTGCTCCTTAACTTCCGTTGAGTAGTATAATTGTGATAAGGCTTATGTAGGTGTTGAGCCCTAATGGTGACAAGGCTTAATGGGTGTGGTTTGGTGTAACAGTGATCACTGATGGCGCTGATCTCAGATTAACAATGGAATGTTCCGTCGCTTATCACAACACTGATCAATAGTAAGTCACAATGAGCAAAGCCACAACCTGTAAGAATTAGAGTGCACTACTAATGTTAACTTGGCCTAGACACACGTGGTCAAGGACAAAACAGAAAAAAATGTTACATTTGTTAACTGTTCTTACATAGCTTTCGACAGTGGTCATCATTTGGGGAATAAAAAAGGCACCTTTGGTGTCATCAAATTAATTATTCATCAGTCATTCATCTTGCTAATTAAATTAAGAATTTTCACCAACAAATTATTACTGTATTGTTTCCAAATATCTTCAAAAGCATAAAATGTTACAAGTTTGTTACAAAATAAGAATGAGTGAGTATGGTTTTACGCCACTTTTAGCAATATTCCAGCAATATCACAGTGAGGGACACCAGAAATGGGCTTCACACATTGTACCCATGTTGGGTATTGAACCCGGGTCTTCGGCGTGACAAGCGAACGTTTTAACCACTAGGCTACCCCAGCGCCCCGTTACAAAGTAAGAACGTGAGGACCTACGTCAAGAATAAATTACTGGTATAGCAGTGAAAACACGATCCAAATCAGTTTAGATATGATTACAGCAATTCAGCTGTAAGAACAGAAAAGGCCCAGTGTCAAATGACCAAAAATGTGAAAGTCATGTTTACCTACATTTTTGTAATGAATATATATTGATGACACAAGATGACTTTTCTATCGACAAGATACACTCTACTATCAACATGTTCCTGAACTGAGAGTTATCTGCCCTCTGCTTTCACAAATCCTTCACCGTATCCTCGCCAAAGAGGATGGGAAAATATGCAGGTAGGAACATCCAGTGATTTTAATGTATGCTCCTGGGAATCCTCTTTCCAACTAGACATCTGAAAACTCTTCCAACCCTTGTAACTCCAATCCTACCTCGAGAAAACACAAGCCTGACGTGTATATGCCAGCAGAAAAACACGCACTACGAAGGGCAAGCCTAACACATACAACCTGAATATGTTAATGAAGTGGAGAACTAATACAACTTTGTATGGATTGTATGAAAACATGATCAATGTAGACAGATAAATGACACAGAACTGAATATCATAAAACCATTAACACATCATGCACAAGTATAACATATGTTAACAATGAACGCCATGACAATAACACTTCCACTTTAAAGAACAAAGTGATCCACAAAAACTCGTTAAAATATTGAGGTAACAAGAGACTGAGTAACTGGCAAGTAAGCTGAAACAAAACAGTCAATCTCATTGACACACACAGAAACAAAGATGGCAGACATGACATATCTAGTATTGCTTGGGCAGCCATCTTGGAGCCACTTGCTTCTGTCCACACTGGCCCCTCACGTCCTTGTCTGGGTACATAATGGTCTCCATGTCCGTGGCTTGTCACCGTTCATCTTCCACAGGCAAAGTTATAAATATCCTTGTTCATGCACATTCATAACTGTATACACATCTAACACTATCCTGTCAATATGGTCCTACTTTATAAATGACTACTTCTATCAGAATTATTTTCCTGGATGATACTGATCATTTTATTCCCAGTACAATTTGATAATTTTCAAAGTTGCTCATTCTCGTCTTGACATCTCCCGGAATATTTACCAAACTGTAATATTATCAAACCAGAATTTTGTATTCTGAAAGCATATTTCAGCACATAAGATCCACCTTAAGACAATCATGGTTCATCCCTTGCAAGGGATTTTATTAATATTATTCTTTACTCAGGTGTCCTTTATTTGAATGCATCTGAAGAATGAATTCACTCACTTCCTGTTCCGCTGATGCCAAGGCTTCATCATATTACTGGCCTCCTTTTTTGAAAACCAGATCAGTTACCTCCCTTAGTACCTGGTAGATGCATTAGCACATCACAAGTGCATTTTTGTTCTTGTTATCTTACTCAACCACTGTCTCAATCATCACACATTCATCATTATGTGCTAATACAAAATATGAACATTTGATGTACTAAACACAGTACATTCATTAAATCTTGATGCATCAACACATCACTTTAACCCCAAATGTCTCACATCCTGTTTTCAGGGCAAATACCAAAAGTTTCAAACCTTATTCTTTGGCACCACACTATAAAAGACTTCCCCAAGAGCTGTTTGATACGAACAAATACAGATCTTCTTGATGTGAAGTCAAGTTAATTGAAACTGTAACAAGGTCTCTCCAGCCCTGCAATCAAGATGATTGTCAAACTCATTGATGGTCTGTTCAATGACTTCCAGCACATCAGACAGTATGTATCCTGAATCGAGAAGGAAGCAATATTCTCAATCATGTTGATATTTTGTTTCTCACACGCCTCATCTAAGTTCGTATCTTATCTGTCCGAGATACAACAGATGTTAAAGTAACGACTGAACCACCGAGAATGGAATGATTAGAGAGTTCACAAGATGTCTCAGTTTCAGTCTCCCGAGTGCTGCGACAACATCACAGTTCTTCGCGTCTTGTTCAGTTTGAGATTTATGACTCACGATGACTGTCCTACATCAAGGACTTACAGACCTAAATTGATGTTTTACTCTGACTCAATCTGTAACAAACACGATATCTTCTGACATTGATCGCTGAGAACTAAAGACCAGTGAATATATTGTCCAAATGTCTTAAACCCAAGGTCACTCGGATGCTTCTACTTCCTTTGTAAGAGCCTGAAATGACATCGTCTTGATCTCACGCCAGTTTCTACATAAGATAATCACACAAGACACTGGAGTTTGATTTGTGAGAACGAAAGACATGAAGAGACATCATGTCTCAATCTCTGCCGTGAGAAGTCGTCGACTAGGATCATTGAGACTAGGGGAGTCCTGTAAGTCCAGATTGGTCAAGTCATACATATACATCTTAGGTGGGGTATGGATGTCTACAGTTGAGTCGGGTGTGGCATCCTCCTCTGTATTTTCAGGTCGAGATTCAGCTTCATAACCGCTGTCTCCGTTATATTCCGTACTGTTCTGATGTGTTGAATCGTCAGGGGACTTTTCACCATCCTCATCTACTTCATCTTGTTTCTATGGAAACCAAATTATAGGATAAGTTGCGCGTGTCTCTATTTTCACCCATAAGTCTGTATTTGTTACCCACTTTTCACAACCATTATTTCAAATTTTGATAGGTTTTATAATCAGTTGCTTCTGGATTTATCTTTATTTTAAAAACTGTATCATACACAAAAGAAATTCAACAAAATGATACATACAATTTAATGACATTCAAATTGATGACCCTGTTTAAATTATTCTTTTCACTAAATATGGATAAAATTTAACAGGAAATAATACAAAATTAAGATACGTCAAAGTCTCTTTATCAGTGATTGTGCAGTCAATGAAACATGCAAAGGGCGAGAAACAATATGCAAAGACAATTTCGGACCATACAGCTTGGCAAGGATTACATCCACATACAATACTGCCTATCTACCCTTGTGAACGTGACACCTGAAGCTGTGGAGTCAATGTGGGGATGTTTCTTTCTCACAGTGTAGCTGTAATACTGCTGACTGCGGCATAAAACCTTCACGGAAACAACCTCACAGTTGACGAGACAGAAAGTGCAAATCTAGGTGATTCACAGTTTCTAGATAGAGAGCTGGTCTAACATATGGGATTATATACTGGGGGACAGATAGACGTTTGTTGTTGGTACAGTCGGATTCAAATCATTCTTTCTCCTAAGACTTCATACAATGTCTAAAGAATGAACGTTAATGTTCTAAATTTACTTATTCAGTTTTCATTCACTATTTCAATTTAGCAAGTCAGTTTCGCACAGAAACAGTGAGAAAATGTTCTTTCTCTCTTATATTTCTCCATCTTACTGTGTAATCCTGAATTTAATAAAACAAAATGTCCAATATTTGGATGAAGATGAGAATTCTACTGTACTTGGAAGGATGGGATATCATATTGGCTATTTGGCGAATAATTGTAAATTACAAGGAATAAACAAATAAACATACATTAAAATGTTCACCTGAAACAAAATCATGGTAACAAAAATCTTCACAAACGAAACAATGTAAGTGGTCTCCCCTTTGTAGAGTTGTCTCCCCTTATTGAGAACATAATGGTGTCTGTTTCCAATGGTGAAAATGTTTAATTGGACAAAACACGCTTCTGTTATGGATTATTTTCATACAAACCTCTGCACAACTACTGGGGGAAGTACTACTTTCCTGCAGCTCCTCATTTTCATCGGGAATGCTCAACAAAAGGGGGGAGTTGAAAAACGTAATATCTCCCTATAAGGAAACAAAGTTAACAGAACATAGATTAACACATGCACATTTGTCAAGACATGCACAGCAAGATACTGCAGTGACAGAGGTAGCCAGCACAAACTGTGATGCACGTGCCCTGTAACCATAGTAACCCGTAACCATCAATGCCGATACTCAAAACATGCTTTCTCTAAATTTGAAATATAGTAAATTTGTGAGGTAAAATAACTTGAAAGTTATTTTTTTTGTAATGTCAGCATGTTAAATTGTTCGTTTTTCATTAATTAAAAAAAAAAATTCAACATGATTTAATTTAAAAACAATTTCAACATAGTTTAATGTTTCAAGTTGATCTGAGCATTGATGGCAGATAACAGTTTAATCCTCAATCCATTAAACCATAACAAACCACAGACATTGGACAAAGTATTCAGTTGTTTTTTCTATACTTTCAATAGGATATAAGAGATTGTAACAAAGCCATTTGAACCTCAATGTTTCATAATATTGACAACACAAAATTTGACCAATTCATAGGGAGTTGATCCAACAGTACATTTTTAAATACATATATGAAAATGCCAACCCCCTTTGGTACACCAGAAGAACTCTTAAATTGCATAGTAGATGCTATGTGTGAGTGAGTGAGTTTGGTTTTACACTGCTTTTAGCAATATTCCAGCGATATCACGGCGGAGATGCTATGAAATGTATATCTGCCTCGCTGATACCAATATTTCAATGTTGACATTTATGATCTTGGATATGCTTCATATCTCATAATTGTCTCACAAATAGTGAATTCTGTTTGACAGATGAATCGAATATCATTACCATAGTGAAATAATTTCTGGAACATATTATCCGAGATTACTTATGTCCAACATCTGCAGCTGATTGCATACAATGGAAGCAGTGAATTAATGCCATACACAATGATATATGACTTGTTTAAGCTCCAAAAGGCAATATATGCAGTGGTTGCATCAAATAATAAATAATATTGTAAAAATTTCAATTCAACACAACCTTAAGCAGCAAAATCAAGATTGTGAACATTTCCGCAATATCACTGAAGCAAGAGGCATATTTTATTCCATTTAATCAAATAGCTGATACAGCAAAGATGTAAACATGCAGAAATGGCTAAATCACGGAAGCGTTGTACATTGTAACAAAAGCTTAACAATTATTCAAAACTAGACATTCTAAGGCCAATCTTACAACAGTAACACCGCACTGATTCACAAACTACTGTTTTACAAAAAGAATTACATCTGACATTAAGAGGTGTTCAATATCTCATTGGTATGAACTTTACAAGTATCCCGAGGTGTGTTCATATTGTGATGGTGAATAATAATGAGACGTGAGATGTTAGTAATTGAGCCAGACAGTTGATACATGGGAATTAAGGTTAGAAAGTTTTAATATGTTTTCAAGTCCAAAAGTGAAGAGTGGTCAAAGAGCCAAAGAATGGATGATCAAAGGTCAGTGTCCTTCATCCACTATTTGTAAAGGTCAAGGTCACTCAGATCTGAGATCAGATGGAAGATTAAGATGACCAGAAAGGACTAGTTCAGTTTAGTTGAGCTGTCCAGTTTATTTTTCAACAGTAATGTTTTAATATCATTCTTAATTTCAATTTAGTAAATTAGTATTGTTAGATAATAACTGGAAAGAAAATTCAGAAAAAGTTTCAAGACAAGTCACCAAGAACACATTTTAAACCCACAATTTCCTGTTCAAGAGTAATGTTTCGTCAAGCTTCAGACATAGAACCTGGCTGTTTTGAGAAGATCAGAACAGAAGTCTACAAGTGTCTCAACTATCACTACTATGCAAGGAAGCAGAGAAACGACCTTGACATTACCTTCATGGGAGGCATACTTACACAGGTCAGAGGGGTGGTATCAGCCGTGGGGTCCCAGTCTAGTTCCCCTTCGCCATGGTTACGGTTTTCCAATTTGACCGGGGATTCTGCGTCTGGATCCAATCCCTGTTCTAGAAATATCAAGAAAGCAATGATTAGGCTAAAGCTAACAGGCTGGATAGAGTGTCAACAAGCTTTTAAGCACTCCTGTCCATACTGGATCCATGACAGGTGCAAATGATGGAGAAAAATTTGGTTCTGAATTGTTTTATAGCATGTTTAATGTCTCATCTGGGTTTCCAGGTGAGCTGGGATTTAAAGTATTTTACATTTTTGCACAGAAAGTTATTTCACTGCGTGGGAGGACATGTTTCTTGCTTTAGTTCACAAGTGCTTAAAATGCATGGTAATGATCACGAAAAAAGCTGTGACTTGAACCCACAATGAGGGAACATGGCACATTTTATTGCCTCTGTGAATATTGTCAAGCACTATCAGGCAGATAGAATTTACCAAGGCCTGAGAGGTCAGAAAGATTACTTTGGGCTCTGGGATGTTGGTACTGTTGTTTCTGATACCTACATATGAACCACTTTGAACCAGTGACCAAGGTTCAGCAAAATCAAATGTACCAAATCAAATTTCAAACCATACTTAAGTGACTATTAAAATTTTAATTCTAATTGTAACAACGGAATTATATACGGGTTACACACTCTCACTGTCGTGATGTCTAAGAACCTTAACACATGTATAGGTGTTCGGGCCCTCTTCTTCATGCTAAAACTGGTCATGGCAACCCTAATTTAGCCCAGTTAGTATTTTGGCCAAAAACTGATGCAAAATTAGTATTTACTTTTCCAAAGGATGTTCATATTTAATAAAAAATATACATAGATATTCCAAGAACTTGTTCTTAACATTTTACTCACCTAAATCAGTAGTAAGTATCCACATAAAGCTTGATACTGAATAAAATGTGGTTAAAATTTATTGTGTATGGTACGTATGCTATTTAATCTATGTTTTTTGTTAAATTTGTATATTTTCACTGCTATCATAGTCGCATATTTTGTGTTATCTTTTCATAACAAATACGCTAAAATCATATGGGTTGGCATCTGTGTATGTTACATCACAACATGGAGGAATTACTGCCCTGAGTTGGGTTTAACATTATTACAGTCATGGTGGGTCAACTTAACGGGGGAAGAAACCTGAGGTGATGTAGGTCCTAGAAGTTTACCACGCTGGTGAATTACGACGATTCTGGAATTCGAATCCATTAAGATATTTTCTTTGCATGCCAACATGCCAAAGGGACATCAACTGGGTTACTTTAGAGTAGTTTCACACCGTAACTGACACAGCCAATGGGTAAGACGCAATGCATTGCCAGCAGTGGTGTTAATCAATACTCTCTGTGCATGATACTTCGTTCAACTCGTGACTGACCTTGACATAAACCATCTTAGAACAAGCATGGCAGCAATACCTCAGACAAATTCCTGCATGCTTTTGTTGGTTATGAGTTAGGAATGAGTCGTGAACAAGATCATTTCCCACGATGCATCATGACAAGGAATGTGTGTAAATTCAAAACAAGTCAATTAGCTTCAAATCATGAAGCGGTGAAAGGTTACCATGGTTACATAAAGATTTAGGCAAAGGACTAAAGAGTGAGTGAGTGAGTGAGTTGAGTTTAATGCTGGTTTGAACAGTATTTCGTTAATACGACATTCTGACTAAAGAGGAGAAACATTAATTAAACCTGTATCTGTGAAGAACAATCAGTGAAAGAGATGCATAAATCTAATTGTCTAGAACATTTATACAAGTGAAATGAATAATTTCATTTCAAAGTGAAATTCTGACAACATTCAAGAAAGGTCTACCATGTTGAGAGACAACTTCATACATGTGCCACAGACTGACAGTATGCAGGCAGTGTGATGACATTCAGACCTCTATACCACACTTCTGGTATACCTTTAGCCTTTTGTCTCCTCTCCATCTCCTCCAACACCTCGGAGATGGAAGATGCAGGACGTTTCTTCTTGCGGCTGTAGATGACGTTGGGAAATTCCTCGTCCATTAGAGGCTGAGAAAGAGGATGGGGATTACATAAAGACATGCCAGGAGGGGAGAGGGAAACGCTGAAGAGGAAGATCGGCAACAAGCAGATCGCCAGTAACATCTTCCACTTGGGACAAGCAGATCGGCAGTATTGCATTCCACTCGGGACAAGGAGATCGGCAGTACCACTTTCCACTTGGGACAAGCAGATCGCCAGTATTGCGTTCCACTTGTGACAAGCAGATCGCCAGTAACAGCTTCCACTTGGGACAAGCAGATCAGCATTAAAACGTTTCACTTGTGACAAGCAGATCAGCAGTATCGCTCTATTTTTGACAAGCAGATCGGGAGTAAGATGCTCCACTTGTGACAAGCAGATCGGCACTATCGCTCCACTTGTGACAAGCAGATCGGCAGTATCCCTCCATTTGTGACAAGTAGATCAGCAGTAGCATGCTCCACTTGGGACAAGCAGATCGGCAGTACCACTTTCTACTTGGGAAAAGCAGATCAGCAGTATCGCATTCCACTTGGGACAAGTAGATCAGCAGTAACATGCTCCACTTGGGACAAGCAGATCGGCAGTACCACTTTCCACTTGGGAAAAGCAGATCGGCAGTATCGCATTCCACTTGGGACAAGCAGATCAGCAGTATTGCTCCACTTGGGACAAGCACATCGGCATTAAAACATTCCACTTGTGACAAGCACATCAGCAGTATCACTCCTCTTGGGACAAGCAGATCAGCAGTATCGCTCTATTTTTGACAAGCAGATCGGGAGTAAGATGCTCCACTTGCAACAAGCAGATCGGCAGCATCGCTCCATTTCTGACAAGCAGATCAACAGTAACATGCTCCACTTGTGACATGCAGATCAGCACTATCGCTCCACTTGTGACAAGTAGATCAGCAGTAACATGCTCCACTTGGGACAAGCAGATCATTGGGACAAGCAGATTGGCAGTATTGCATTCCACTTGGGACAAGCAGATCGGCAGTATCGCATTCCACTTGGGACAAGCAGGTCGGCAGTATTGCTCTCAACTTCTTGTTGACACATCGGGAGTGAGATGGGCAGATCCATAGTGCTATGCTCCACTTATGATCTGCAGTACCAGGCTTAACTAATAACCCTGAACTTCTCTCACAATTCAAGGGATCCTACATATTTGCAATCAACTAAAGATGACATTCACTGAGTTTGAACAGATATTTGTTTCTCACAAACAAGTAAGTCAAAGGATATCAGATTGAATCAGTTCACAGAGGAAGATGTAAATGATTTTAACAGGTCTTGGTATGGAACTCATACAAAAGTCAGAATCAACTTCAAGCAACATGCCAACAGTTGGGAATATTAGGTACAAACGGAACCATAAGCTTCTTCCAGAACAGGAAACCAGTTAGTTGAACTTTGGAAACCAACAGAAGTTACTGATATGGAACATGATGCACTGCCATACTCACAAAACTGCCCTGACTGAACCGGTTAGGAACTTCTGGTGGGGGGACACGTTTAGGAGCTGGAATGAGAGAAGTGTGTGAGAGTCAGGTTTTACTCAAGTTGTATGATTGGTTTGTTTGTTGTTTAACGTTGTACTCTGCGATATTCCAGCTATATGGCGGCAGTCGGTAAATAATCGAGTCTGTAAATAATCCAGTCTGGACCAGACAATCCAGTCATCAACAGCATGAGCATCGATCTACACAATTGGGATACAAAGACATGTGTCAGCCATGCCAGCGAGCCTGACCACCCAATCCCGCTAGTCGTCTCTTATGACAAGCAAGATCAATTCAAACCATTTGCTATAGTATAGAGATGACACAACTTTATGGATGATCAACTTCTTTATTTTCACAATAGCGACGTTTCGGTATAGCTTCTTATACTGTTTTCAAGCATATGCATAGACAGTGTTACTGCCGATCAAGTATAAGACTGACTCACTGAGTTTGGTTTTACGCCGCTTTTAGCAATATTCCAGCAACATCACGGCAGGGGACACCAGAAATGGGCTACACCGTGAAATGGGCTTCACACATTTTACTCAAGTATAAGAAGCTATGCTGAAACGTTTCAGTATTTTTCTTCTAAGGAGGTTCAAGTACATTCAAGGGGAGATAACTCCATTCCCACAAACTGTTTATTCTATCCGTTAATGTGGCTTCACTGTACAAGTATAAACATTCCATCTACTTTGAAAGAGGTACAAACTTCAATGAAGCAGCTACATACGTCTTGGTCCGAGTGTGGCCGACACCATGCTGAACTCATCCAGCTTGGCCAGATGGTCCGCAGGTACTGGACTAGGAGTGAAGTGGTTGTGGTTCAGGGGTTGTTTCATCTCAAAGTCATGCTCCTTCTTGATGTCGTACTCTTGCCGTTTCCGCTGGCGACACAGCAGGAACGCGATGATGACTGCGATGGTGAGGAGGGCAGCGATGATGGACACTGCAATGGCTGAGAATGGGGTCAAGGTCAATAATGTTTTCTCCCATCATGTTAAAAAAAAAAATGTTCACAAATATTCAACCCACGTTTTGATGGATGTTAATCGTAGAAATATAATCTGAATGTTATAATATGCTAAAAACTTCAAAATTGTGCAGAGGCATCTGAATACAAAAATGAATTTGCAGTTTCTTTTAAAATCTGTCCCATTTTGAGGTTGTTACAAATCTATGGTCCTGTTCTACATTCGTAGATCTCAGATTGTGAGTGAGAGTTTAGTTTTACGCTGCACTCAGCAATATTTACAGCCATATGGCGCCGGTCTGTAAATAATGGAGTCTGGACCAGACAATCCAGTGATCAACAGCATGAGCATCGATCTGTGCAATTGGGAAACGATGACATGTGTCAACCAAGTCGGCGAGTTGGACCACCCGATCCCGTTCGTCGCCTCTTACGACAAGCGTGGGTTACTGAAGATCAATTCTAACCTGGATCTTCACGGGTTAGATCTAAGATTGTAACTCCAATACTTTACTATTGGCCTATAAGAATCATAGTACTAAAATCGCTTTGTGGAACTGGGCACAGATTGTTCCAAACCTGGTCATATTGTCAGCTGTATAACACAGTTAGTATGGGGAGCAGAGGACCCAATGATGCCCTGACAGTAAGTTTCGGTTAAATCCAAAAAGACGTCTTACCAACGGTGAGATCATCCGCCATACCCCCTTGTATGACTGGCGCGGTGAGGTTGGTTATTGGTGGAGATGTAGTTGTAGTTGTCACTGGCTTCGTGGTGACGCCAGAACGCCGACCAATAATCTCCATGCTTGCTCTCCCAACATCCCATGGAGGCATTGTCAGGATCTGTAACATGTCACATTAAATAAGTCTCAGTTAAGAGTGTCTTGGTCTAGAGTGAAACTGTTGTTAATTTCAGTGATGCAGCAATTATGCCAGCCTGCAAAAAAATAAAGCAAGTGAGTGAATATTGTTTAATGCCGCATCAACAGTACCTCATATGGCTTGACGGTAACTTTACTGATGGCTGAGGTTACAACAGTACCTCATATGGCTTGACGGTAACTTTACTGATGGCTGAGGTTACAACAGTACCTCATATGGCTTGACGGTAACCTTACTGATGGCTGAGGTTACAACAGTACCTCATATGGCTTGACGGTAGCCTTACTGATGGCTGAGGTTACAACAGTACATCATATGGCTTGACAGTTGCCTTAATGATGGCTGGGGTTGCAACAGTACCTCATATGGCTTGACAGTAGGCTGAGTGACAGCTGGGACAGGGGGGACGTAGGTCTGGGAGAGACGCAACATGGAGCACTCCAGTACCGGGTCACCTAGGACCTCCACACCCCCGTCCTGGGGATTCAGCATTGCCTTGAGGGGAACCACCTTCTCAACTCCATCAAACCTCGGCATGAACACCACATCTGAAACAAGGGACAATGAGGCTGGCTAACTTTGCCCATCGAGAATAAGAGTATACATATGGCATGCTCAGCAATTTCCCAGCTATTTGATGGTGGCATGTAATTCATACAGTCTGCACCAGACAATCCAGTGATTGATATTATGATAAACATGCCATGGGTACAATAGCATGCTATCAACCATTTGGCCCCTTTAAAATGTAGGTTGTTGTAGACCGATTCTAACCCAAGGACCTTGGCTTTAAGTTGCGAAAAGCATGAGGTATTGCATAATAACCCTGGCAACGAATTCAAATGAGAATATACATATATTTTGATGGTTGAAGCAGAACTGCAATAGCAACTGAGGGTCGTACCTCCAGGTGGCGCGCCACCAAAGTAACATCCCTGAAAGACGGATCGGACTAATTTGGTCACCATTAGTGGTGTTCCGATTAATTGAAATAATCGAAGATTGGTCGCAGTGACAAAACGACCAAGCAATCGATGACATGTTCTCATAATCGAACACAAACGATTTTGGAACTACTGTTTTAGTCTTTGAAACATTTGACGATGCAACATATCTTTGAAGTTGTCAGGGCCTGAAAACTTGCTTAAGTCTTGGAAAACTCACTTCACTAACTGAAAAGGCATGACTAAATATTTCTTGAAGACTCCGGGAAGTTTATGTTCATGATATTATTAGTCATCACTTTAAAGTAGCAAGTGGCATCATGTTATACATATCTGCAATAACAACCTTGATAGGAAAATACACTAACCAATTTGTTTCGATGATTGTTCGTTGGTAATGAAGCAACCATCAATTGTGAGATTTCAACCAATTCCCAACACTAGTCACCATACTAAACACAGTAACATGGTCCAGATCACTAGTGTACTTCTATCATCTCTGACAGTTACAACACATGTGTAATTAGGAATCTATGACTAACTTTTGAACTATAGCCCACAATAAACAAGAAAAGCAAACTAATGCCACGCTTATTGTTTAATGCACAACTGTCACTGGTCAGCATGGTTGATCCAGGAGAACTGTGCTCACTTATCATGATCATGTTTTTGTACACTACGGGGCAGACTTTAACCAATGAGCCAGCCCGTTTCACTCAACCAGCCAAAGAGCTGGTCTAATGATGTGGGTAGTCCAAAGCCCGCAACACAACTGGCGGCAGACTATAACCAGTGACTTTTTTGAGTGGCATTTTAGAAGTGGGGAAGTACAATATAGAACAAACTTTATGGATAACAATCAATAAAAAGAAGTTGTTATTGTATAACCAGTGAGCCAGCCTGTTTCACTCAACCAGCCAAAATAAGGGCTGGTCTAAAGATCTGGGTAGTCCAAAGCCTGAGACACTGCTGGGCTTGGAACTGTGCCTCTAAGAACCCAATGATTTTGGTCATGCGGAATCTCTTACTTGAGATGGTGCCGGTGAAATTGATGAGTCTGTTACTGACAGACGACAGGTCCTCTGTGTCCACTACTCCTCCTATGTAAATCCTGTCGATTTTATCCAAATTAAAGTCGGGGAAATCAAACTTAGCATTTCTCTCCCCATCAATCTGAAATAAAAAGCCACATTTAGCATCTTGATTGTGCTTTTCATTATTCTGAAAACATTAAAAACATTAAAAACCCACCCAGATAACGTATTACTGAAATGAACTTGCAGAACATTAAAGAATGATTTTAAAGAAAATCAAAAATGAAACTTATTATTTTGGTGTTCTTTAAAATGACGTACAAATTGTTTCAAAAGCCTAATTTTAAGTGTTAGTCATTAATATTTGGGCAAAAACAAACAAAATTCCTCAACATCTTCACAAACTGTAAGAAATTATATATGAAAACAAACAAACCAAAAATCATGGAGTACAAATAAAATCAAAATAAAACCATCCTATTTTGCCAACCACCACTACAAGAGAGTTGTCCATGTTGAAGTCAGTCCCAGTATCGCTGTCATGTACCCAGGTTCATTAATAACATTGTGTTTCTTGAGAAAAAGGGTTCTAAAGCTCAGCCGTTTCCACAAACAATCCTAATTGTGTAAATTTTTCAAACTTTAGCACAGAATTATGACGGACACAGCACTGAGATTGTGTAGGAAAGTCCCAGTCTTACTGAATGTGTAAATAAGAGAGAAACATTTGAGAAACAAGTGACAAGGACAGGGGTGGAAATAACCCATTGCCCGACGTCCGAGTCCATTGTGTTTTTCTGTCAGGGCAAGCAATTTGTATATCACACTGTACCGGTGTCCACTTGATATTCCAATGTTAATTATGTTGTTTATTTAAAAAAATCAACAAGAAAACGGTCGGTATAGTGGAAAAATTATCAGGACAAGTGATTTTACATGTGCCACTGTACCGGAGTACACTAGCAATTTTAAAGTTATTTCCACCCCTGAAGGAGATGAATCATGTTCCATGTTGAGCTCAGCACTACAGCATGTGTCATCACACTATATAACTCATCTACATTATGTCCATTACAGATTTTGTAAAATGATTGGAACGGGCTACTACGGTCACCATGGCCACAGCCATAGAGACAGTTGTTTTAATTTGGTCAGTCCACAAAGGACCTGGGTACAGACACTGTGTAGGATACTGACCCAAAGGGCCCAAAAATCGGTCTACCGAAAAACCGCCACCATATCTACACACACATGTGATCTAACCATGGAAAATGGCTATGATGAAAGTGCCACTACAACGCTAGATCCCGAGTGTTACCCAACATGAGATTATTAAATGAGCTGGTAGAGTGAGTGAGTGTGCGTTTGCACCATTGTAGTGATCCAGCTATCTCAAGTAGGGGGATTCCAAGATTGGGTTAAACACATTGTACCGGGAATCAAACCCAGGTCTTCCGCATGATGCGCTAGCACTTAACCACTGTGCTATTCCAGCTTACGGAAAGACATAAAGTGATGTTTAGTGAGTGTATGAGAGTTATGTTATGCTGTTATTTTATCAGCAATATTACAGCTACCTTACAACAGTTGGAAAATTAAGCCATAGTTGACAGTAGGAACACTCCAGGATGTTGGGTATCACACACATCATCCAATATTGTACCTGCCCAATTATCAGGTCGGCCTTTTGCTACAACCATTGGGGAGAGGGACTAGAATCACCATGGCAACATCCCTAAGGTTAGAGAGGATCTAATCCTTTGAATGCCCACATCTCATACACTGGATGAGTGAAAGAAGCTCAGCCAATCAGATCTGAAGCACAGATGCACTATTGCCCAATCAGAATCAGCCTCCTACAAGATAGCACAGCAATTTGAAGTACTAGGCCCCATCAGAATTATTCACAGACCAGGCAGTGTCCCAATGCTTTCTTTATAATCAATGTGCAACAAATGATTGAATTCACCAAACAGAAGCACTTCACCTTCAGGTGTTTGACCGTCACAGATAACAAGCAATAACAAAACTATTACAAACATGCAAAAAATTATGCAAAAATTTCAATTTAGATTGCAGTGTAGAGTAATTTTGTCTCACTGATATAACATAGAAAGCAACAGAACACTGTCAGAATTGTTAATAATTTTGATAAGGCTGAAGCACTTGAACTAAACTATTGTCTACATGATAACTATGATGAATGGCTAGAGTTGCATAGATTCGTGATGGTATATTTATTCATGAATATCATAATCTACATCACATGTATTCATTTGTAATGTAACAGATTTTAAGAAGATTGGTGCAGCTTATGTTTATAAACAGTCATCAAAAGATTATTCTTAAACTTTTGAGGTACTGAATCAGATTTAACTGGACACAGGCATGATTTTACCTGAAGCATAACTGTTGAAACAAGGAAAGGAATAGTATGTGAGTTTTCTTAATATCCCTTACTTGCGTTTTGATAAGGTAATAAGACAAAAAATGTTTCTCAGGCTGCAGGAATTATCAATTAAAGACCACTTCAGCATTATATATGATAATGGTACAAAACAGGCTTTGAAATTCTTTTATGAAATAAGTGTCTGTTTAGTTATAAAAACAAAATACATGATTCAGGAGATTGAGTATATTTGGTAACGACTACATATTGGGTAGTTGTTGAATTTATATCTTAAAAAGATTAGATCAATTAATCCTCAAATTATTTCATGACTAATAACTAAAAATTCTACCCTTTGCACAATTTTGATAATGGCTCATCTGAATTTTTGTAAAAAACAACCACAAATTCCAAAATGAAAAATATGTAAAGGTTAAAATAATGTTTTAACAACTGGCCATAGCACAGTAACAAATCACCACTTGGTACATCTCAAAATGTATTTCATGACTCATGTAAACCCATAACAGACTGAAAGGATATTGTCAAGATGGCTGCCATGGTGGTCATTTTGGAAATCCCATAAACTCATTCTTTGTGACATAATTGCTAGGATTACCCAAGTTTCGTTTTTACTTTTTTTTCAGTGATGATGCTGAAAATGAGTATGACAGAAATGGATGGTTGGCATATACATGACAAAAAATCACGGCAACATTAATTCCGATGGGTAAAATTTCCTACTTGCCTGAGAAACATTTAATTACACCTCGTCTGTCCAGTCCATAGAAATATTTTAATGGTCCTGATTATTTATTTGTTTATTTATGAATTAAGGTAAGTTTAAAACTTGACAAATCTTGACAGATAGCAGAATTAGACATTTGTGACCAGGGCAGCAAGGAGAGTGTTGTGCAGGGGAGGTAAGCGAAGGCAGCAAGAATATTGGGTAAAGACATCAGTGAGGGACAAAGGGGTGTGTACACACATAGCTACAATGTGCACTGCATACAATGATTCAGACTAAACATTTTGCTCGTAAACCCATGAAAATACAAGGCGTAAAACTATCTGCCCCATGTGAAGGTGTACTCTGGCAAGTTGAAATTCAAAACTCAGAGTTAAAGCACATTATCGTCATTTTCAAACCATACTGAACTGATAACTGATGGGTTTTTTAAATAACAGCTGAATATTTGAATTTTCAGTGCACGATATAATCTATTATTAAACAATTTATATCCTAGATTATAGTTTAATAAACTTCAAATTTGGTAACAAATATTCAGAAATAAAATACAATTTTGCCTCCAACAGATTTCAGTAACTGCTTGGAACAATTAAAGGGTGAGATACAAAAGCAGGATTGTACGGAGTTAAGATTAGAAGTGGGGCAACATTTCCGCACAGATAAAATTGAACAAGCAGATATGTCATCTTTTGTTGATGCTGTGGGTTTGTCAGCCCATAAAGAACCCACCTCCGAGCAGCGGCCATATTGCATTCATGAACAAGCAAATGTGGGCCTCTTGTTGACAGCAGTGTTGGCACAAATAGCAATATGAATATATGACATAACTCATCTGTACTTACTATTTCATATCCATATTTGTCTAGTGGTGTCACCTGTTGTGTTAGCAAAGCAAAGTTAAAAATACGGGGTAAAACGTCGATAACATACTGGGTAAAACGTCGATAACATACAGGGTAAAACGATAATAACATACGGGATATAATATTTGAGCAGTCTATTTAGGGTAATTCCATACAGATTTGGGGGTACAAACGAGGAGAGTAGATTTGGGTGTTCAAAGATTGGAGTGTGGATCTGGGTGTTTAAATGAGGGGTATATATTTGGGTTTTCAAACAAGGAGCGAGCAGATTTAGGTATATAACTAACGGCAATATTATTTAGTATGAAGAGTTGGGTAACATGTGTTCATGTAAATGAATGAAAATGAAATGATGTTGGTTCTTACATATCCTAAAATCTAAATATGGACATTTCTTTGATTTTGTTGGCAGTGTGAGGCATTTTCAATCAGCCAACAGAATGCATCACAATAGACCACATTGTCCATAGTACTAAGCTTTATCATTTTCAATTTTCAGATCAAATAGCACTGAATGTTATACTTGTAAAGTCTAAAAGGAATTTTTTTCAATTTGTACAAAAAAATATATAAGAAGTTGTTGAAGAATAACTTCATTACAATATACTTTTCTTTTGTGGAGCAAAACTGTAACAAAAACTGAAAACATATATACTTTACTTCACAAGCAAGCCCAACATTGATCAAAACAAAAAACTTTCACTTTATTTTACTGAAGCATTGTCATTTTAAAGCAGAAAATATTTCAAACAGATTTCAGTCAAGCATATGGTCAGAGAGAAATTTTCTTGACAGAGCTAAACTAAAAATGGGAATGAACATGAAACGAATATGGATCATGATTCATGCAGGAAGATGGGAGTCCTAACAAGCATATATGATGGATATTGATCTAAGACATATGATAAAAGGTTATCAATATATCGTCTCTAACCTCCATCTACATATATGATTTGATAGTTATATATATATATATCCCTTCTGAAATCATCACCATATATACTTGCATAACTATTCCTCAAGATCATGCAATCACATAAAAATTATGATTATAACACTTTAGTCAAATCAAGTTTTTAATGGTTTACCATGCGTTAAGGGTTTCAACTTTCAAATTTGGAATTAAAGTGGGATGCAATTTGTTATTTCAAGAAAAATTATATAATCAAACATTCTATGAAATGGATACCTGTAACAGAACGACAACATGTATTGCATACTTACGGTCAAAACCGTTTCCGGACCACTCCGTTTGTAGGTCATCCTGTGTGGTTGTCCATTAGCGAAGTTTCCAGATACCTTCATCCGATCTGAGCATAAAACCATGATACATTCATTATTACATTTTCATCCCTGAGTGAGTGGGTTGAATGAGTGAGTGAGTTTTAATGTCGCCTTAAACACTTATTCAACTTACATCAACTTATTGTATATTGGGACTCTCTATTATCGCGGCACGCAAAAACATCGGGAAATCAGAAACACCACGCCCCCACATTGGCTGTTTACATATGCAAATTATGTAAAATATATTCATCGCTCTTGAAAAAGTCATGTATTTCATTTGAATGTCATGTCTAATCGTAGTAGTAAAGCATTCATCTTTTCCATAAGTTCTGGAACATTTTGAAACTAGTATGATCCCTACTGCCATTACATCTAGCATGAATCAAACTTACTACGTCAAGAGTAATCCTGCCACAACTATAAGGTTATTTGCATATTTTCCGTGCTAAAAATATAACAGGAAGTGACGTATTAAACAACTTCACTCTATACATGGCAGCAACTTGCATGGTACGTTTTAAGGCGGAAAAACAATAGTTTGTAACGTTATTGTTGCCTTGTATCCAAATGAGTAGAAGTTTCAGATGTTTGGGTTAAAAACATGATGATATTACTAATGTGAATGAAATTCCTAAATATTTTTTAATGATCAAACTATTTAGATTTGTTACTTGTCTTAGTAAACGTTTCACAGTGTCATTTGCTTGTACCGCATGCCATAGTGAAAAAATAGCAATACCGCGATAATAGAGTTGCTTCAATTTCCGAGTCAAACGAGACAATCGGAATTGCCGCAATGGTATTAAACGAGTTGCGACTATGTGTCACATTATTTGTGACAGAAATGAAGATTAAACATCAGTCAACTGAAAATATATATAACATGCTAAATGTCAGTAGCCGTTCATAATCCCGATGGCGACAACATTAACTACCGCGATAATAGAGGGTCCCATGATAAAATCAGTGGTATGCCATGAAAATGTGACCAGACAACAAGGGTATATAATCCTTATCCCACTTGTCACAGAAGATTTTTATTCACGTCCTTGTAAAAATCTGTAAATGTGGGAGGACATTCTAAAGAACCCTAATGTGTTGCAGTATGTTTTACTGAATATTTGACTATAATTATCAACTTCAAGTTAGTGCTGGATGAATTTGAAATGTTTCTGTAAAGACAATCAAAATGTACAGGTGTCCAGTACACCAGGTACTTACACACTCCAAAAGCCTGGTTGGTTTCTATGACGATGGAGCCTCTTTGTGAGGAGCCTGGTTCATACCACACCAAAACATAGTCTTTTGTCCTGAAACAAAACTACATTTTGACAGAAAACTGGACAAAATCTCTTGAAAGTGACATCACTATAATACACTAGAATTTTTTTAATAACAAAATGGTCCAAGTTAAAAAACTTGACTGACTGACTGACTGACTGAGTATGGTTTTACGCCGCTTTTGGCAATATTCCAGCAACATCACGGCGGGGGACACCAGAAATGGGCTTCGAACCCGGGTATTCAGCGTGACGATAAAAAACTTGAAGGAACAGTAGTCATTGGTGAGATGAAATCACACACTGCTATACTCTCATACTTGGGTACTTTGTCGAATTTGAGTGTGCTTAGCCCCACTTTGGGTGCCAGTGTTGCTGCCACAAAATGTCAAGTTCTGGTTTGGGATTCCAACCACTGCGATTCCGATCTGAGGTTGGGCACCTCGATAAACATGATAAACATGTCAACCCTGCTACCAGGCTGATATGGTAACGAGGTTGTCCGAGGTAAGAAATGTTAAGATGACACGACTATATCTTACACAGAACTCTGCACCAAGACCATGGCCAATGCAGCCTGCTGATCACCACCGTTCATCCTCGCTGTTGTCTTGAAGGTCAAGGACACTTGCTCTTGACGAGTATGCTGATTGGCTTCCTCCAAAGTAAATCCGTACTGCACGACAGTGTTTCCCTCAACTCCGGCACACGGCTCTGAAAATCATGTGTAAGTGCAGAAGAATTTATCACTGCTTATTGCTGAGAACATACCTTCCTACCAGAAATCACTGAACATAATGGATTACATTAGATGGGATTAGAATCAAGTTTGTTTGTTTGCTGTTAAATGCCACACTCAGCAATATTTCAGCTATACGGCAGTGTTCTGTAAATAATCAAGTCTGGACCAGACAATCCAGTGATCAACAGCATGAGCTTCAATCTACGCAACTGGGATGCGATGTCAACCAAGTCAGCGAGCCTGACCACCCAATCCCGTTAATCGCCTCGTACGACAAGCATGGGTTACTGAAGACCTATTCTAACCCAGATCTTTGACAATACGAGCAAACGCTATAACCCCTGCCCTTATTGTTCAAGCAGCAAGACACTCACCCAGTTCACAGTGTGTTCCTGTGTACTGTGTCTCGCTGCAGTCACATTTGAACTCAGCATCCTTCCAGTGCTCGTCACAATAGCCCTCGTAGCAGGTCTTCTCGTAACAACCAGCCTCACACTCGGGATGCACAACTGGAGCAAACAACCGATTACAGCAACTAACATAAAAAGCCACCCCCAAAAATGTAAAATCAAAATAAAGCATGACATTTTTTGTTAAAGAACAATTTTCTTATCTTACTTGCATTACGAACCTGAATCTCATGGTTATATAATTGTAATTTTTATACTAAAGCCATTAATGAACTTCAGTGAGATTATTATGCTAGACTTCCACATATTGCAGGTTCTTTCCTCTGTGATTCCATTGAAGTTAATGACTGGATAAACTGTAAGATAGGCAATTCCATCACCTTATTTGAACCTTCATTTTGAAACAGGTAAAAAACCCAGAAAACATCTCAGAATGGCATTTAGTCATTCAAACAATAATTTTGATCAAAAGTTACTCCACAGTTACAATGTCATTGTTCTAATGTGAATTCAGAAGATGACGTACCTGAATAATTTCCTTTCTCGCGAGCCTTCTCTCCCAAGTTGATGATATTGTCTGCGATCTTGAGTCCCCGGATACATCCCTTGAGGGATGGGATGAAGGTCACGCCATCCATGACACCGCCCACGTACAGGTTGACAAAAGGTGCTGGTTCTGTCATGGGGCGGCCCATTAAAACATCCTCTGAAAATCAAAATGTCGTTACTGAACCAACAATGACACTTCATTGAGAGCAGTTAGCAGATGTTCTCTGTGTGTCTTCTCTAAAAGTGTCATCTCGATACTACTGACTGACTGAGTTTTAGTTTTACGCCGCTTTTAGCAATATTCCAGCAATATCACGGCGGGGGACACCAGAAATGGGCTTAACACACATCTCGATACTAAGGATGTACCACCACCAAAATCATCATCACCATCATCATTATCATGTCTTAACTGAACCGACAGTAACACCCCATTAATAACAGTTAGAGCAAGTCAAACCAATGATACTATGTTCTGTGTGTGTCTACTCTCAAAGTGTCATCTCGATACTAAGGACGTACCACCACCAAAATCATCATCATCCATGTTCTCTCCATGTTTACTACTGCACTTTAATAAGAACATTTTTCATCTGATCAAGATTTCATCTAGTGGCGAATCTGACCAACCTTTCTCTGATCTGTCAAATGGCCGACGAGCATATTTGTCCAGTCTGTAGCGTTTAACCTGGATGACCTTGGTCTCGCTGTGGACATGCAGCCGGGTGAAGTTGTAGAAGTGTTCTGCTATCACCTGCTGCCACTGACCATCATTCAGCACCTCTGGGAAAACAATGTCCATCGGCTAATAACATGGTCCTTTTCTCCATGTATTTCAGTGTGTGTACAGATTTTCAGGTACATAATTCATGCCCTCTTCACGGTTGTGTGATAAAGAATCACCAGCTAGCCAATAAAATTTGCATATGCAAATGTAGTCACCATTCAATGAAAATACAGCTAATTTTGGGCTGGTGGTGCAGGTGAAATAAATATATTTGGAGAGAAAGCAAAGCATCCCTAAATTTTCACTAAATCTTAGGCTTGGAAGACTAGTAGCTTTGTCTAACAGTATGTGATAACTTCAAATGCCTCGAGAAGCTCAATTATAACAGGTCTCGGTGCTTGTGGTCTTAACAGCAACTTCAACATAGAAGGGAGACAACTTACTGTTTATTGACAATAAACAGGTCATGTACAAATTGTTTCCTCTGAACAATTTATTGTATTTCAACTATTGGAAAATGTGAAAAGAGATGAATTATAAGGCAATTTACTTGGTGCTTCTAATAACGATTGGTTAGAAATATGATGAGGCCTTTAGACATATTATCTCAATTCCAGACCTCAAAGAATCAAGACGCAAGGATTCCTAAAGAAATCAAGTCAACAAGTACAACACGTTGATCATACCATTTTTCAGTGTGATGGAGTCGCTGATGATGTTCTTGTAGGAGTTGAAGGTGATGGTGATGGTGTTGCCGCCCGTCAACTTGAGCTGGACGAAGTTATTTAGGTGGTCATGGGCATACAGGAGCAGGGCATCAGACTGGAACGTCCGGAAACTCAGGATGATGGTGTCCATCAGGATCTCCGGGTGGGAAGTCATGTTGTAGAAGAGGAAGGAGTTGTCAGCTGCGTTCCCGCTGAGGGTCACTGCGTCACGGTTGATGTCTGGGAAAACGAGATAAATGATCCGCATGTCCAAGGAAACAAATTCCATCAAATCAAAATCAGATCTAAGTTCTCACTACTGCTAAACAAAGTTATGTTTAGCAGTAGCACAAAGATTTTGTTGCAATGTGACTGAAGGAAATCATGATCCTTGGGTATATTAAACATGTTTAACATTGTAAAACAATGCTGAAATTATTGTTACATGGGATTTTAAGCCTGGAAAATGTTCTTGAGAAGCAAAATGTCCAAAATTTGATAAACATGGACATTACATCAGTTGTATACTAGTATTTTTCAGGAGTATTTTTTATTTAGTTTGGACCTTGCATTCAATATCATTCCTGAGCTTAAGAGATCAGCTCTCAATATCAAATTGTCACCCTGACGTCTGCTGCACCTACCGATCTCACAGTTGATGCCGTGATGGGACCATGTCTCCTTGCACTTGCATGTGTATGAGCCCCAGGACTCGACGCACGTCCCGCTGTTATCACATGGGTTGGGCCAGCAGGACGACATACACCCTCGGGACACGCCACCCATACTGCAAATCCATTCAATATATTCATGATTGACAGGTCTACAGCCCAACACACAAAATGATATATTTGTCTCATGATGAATTGATTTTTCAGACTAAAAGTCCAAATGACTTTCAAATACTGGTTCTTGTACTGTTATGTTACTTTGATAAGAGCAAGACCCCTCAGGAGCTTACGTTGCATCCATAGCTTTCTCCAAGTCCTGGAACTTCCCATTGTACAGAAAACCTCGGATACAGCCAGTAAAACCAGGAGTTCTCTCCCCTGTCTTCTCCGCCAGCCTAAATACGACACAAGGTTATACGCATGAAACCTGAAACCCTCTGTACTCAAAATGTCTTGCCATCATGTGATTACACAAAATGTTCTGCCAGTGTGATTGGTTACACAAAATGTTCTGCCAGTGTGATTGGTTACACAAAATGTTCTGCCGTCATTTGATTACACAAAATGCTCCGCCAGTGTGATTGGTTACACAAAATGTTCTGCCATCATGTGATTACACAAAATGTTCTGCCAGTGTGATTGGTTACACAAAATGTTCTGCTGTCATTTGATTACACAAAATGCTCCGCCATCACGTGATTACAGAAAATGTTCTGTCATGTGATTATGCAAAATGCTCCGCCTCCATGTGCTCATGTTCAAATGGAACACTCACTCATGTACTTTTGCCAGCATGAAAGCATTACACCCACACTTATTGAGGAATACCAGTGGCCACAGTTTGGGCACAGATCTTTGATGTATAGCACTGATAAGAAACAACTGTGTGAGCATCCATCAATTAAGATACATACAAAAAACAATCATTCTTCCCTCAATATGGATCTACATTTAAAATGGTTCCAGGAATTGCTGAAATGTTTCCATGACAACAAAACGCACCTTTCTGGTATCCCCAACCATAAGCATCCCACCAAACAGGGCATCTTGCTGCTGGAGGGGGTCTGGCAGCTCCACGAGCTGTCTCTTCCCATCAAGCGTCAGGCGGATGTTGTAGGGGTCTCTCTCAATACCGACGGTATGCCAGTCATCACCGTCCAGGGCACTTGCTGTGTAGAGGGAGTGGGAGATGTGGTGACCGTTGATGTTGAAGTAGAACGCCACCTGGTGAGCTAAAACAAGAAGCGAGTCCACAATATTACTGTGATATATAAGCTTAAATGAATGGGTTTAATGTAGCATGAAGAATATTTCTGTTACACAGATATATGATTGCATGTGTGTAGCTGCTTGTTCAACTCCTGACTTATGCTATTTTCATTGAGTTAATCCAATGAGTTTAATAAGGGCACTTAACTCAGACAAAGAGCATGATTACCGATTCCAAGCTGATAGGTTTTGTTTTATGCTGATACTATTGAGTGTCATCATTAAGATATTCAGCTCCTTTTAGCAATGATCCTGCAGTATCACAGAGGGGGCACCAAAAGGCCCACGTTCCCATGTGGGGGAAATGAAACCAGGCATTCTTTATGAAAGACATTACTTCAACCACTGACTACCCCACTGTCCTACAAATATGAATGAAGGAATAACTTACAATCTACAATCTTGATCAAGAATCTGTTGGCATTGGTGTCTGTGTAGTTCTGGTAGATGAGCAGTGCTGTTGTCTGGTGCGTCTTGAAGCTGAGGTAGAGATCACCACGAACCCACGGCCGCTGCCGTGATGAAGCTGTTCTCCTGAGTGATGGTGACTGCTTGGTCCAGGGGCTGGTTCACTGGAAGCAGATGCATACAAGTGACCACATGCTGTATTGCATTTCGCAGCTCAAAGTGGAATGTTTCAGTGCGAAATATATTATCCTAAATTCTATTATTCAATTAGGCTCATCAAAAACTCAATACCACCTACAAGTCTAACATGTAACGTATATAAACCAATTAAATATAAATGTTATCTGTATTTTTACATGTGCACGCAACAGCCTTGGATGAAAATCTAATTATTAATTCATTATATGAGTCACCATGCAGAATCTCTTCCACTAAACCTACCATTTCCCCAGCAGCGCAGAGGTCCAAGAGAGAGAGTTGCCTCCCCTTGAAGGTACTCCATCTCATTCTGGAGGATAGTGATGTCCACCAATGGCAGCTGACTCTTGACTCCGTTGAAACCAACATCTTCCCTCCACACATCAGAAGCTGATAACAACCAACAATGAAAATTGTGAGAAGCTAGACAACATCAAAGTAAATATTTTCACCAGGCTCTTAACATGTATAAGTTGCTCTCAAAGGAAAGCATGTCTTGAATGAACAAATCACCTTCCTGCATTATCTCTGCAGAGATGGAGGAGGAGACAATAGCTGACTCATTAGACTTCACTAAGATTTACTACATTTGGAAAACAAACACATTCTTGTTCATCAGTGATTTCAATCCTTGATATTTGAATGATTTCCTGTTTTACGGCCGGTATATTTCACTGGGGACATTCAACATGTAGAACCTATGGAGGTGCACACACCAGAAAAGTAAGTTGAGGGTTCCATACTACCCAGCTGTATAACGTACCTTGATCACAGATACACTTCTGTCCATCGCACGTGTCCCTGCCCTCACACTCACAGTAACCAGACTTCTGGTTGCCTAGGTAGTCCACAATCTCTCCGTTTGCCGCCTTGAACCAAGTCTTTATCCCTGGCTTCAGTGGCGACTGGCGTCATCGGTACGCGATGTGCTGACGGCACTTGTAGGAGAACAGTGTCAGAGTCCTCAGCTGCTCTCGGCTCATACCTCTGTAATTTGGTATAAGTCAGTTTGAAAGTAACTTTCATTGAAAGTTGGCAGTTTAGGACTTACATATGTGATTAGGGTCATTTCAACACTTTTCTTGAACCAAAGGACAGGGAGTTTTACACATGAGCAGATCAACCAGTTAATCTAATGACATCTAGATAATCCAGTTTCCATCACACAACAAGAACACTGTAACATAGTCTGCCTCAGTCTCTGAACCACATTATTTTCACTGCTGCCTTGCCCTCCTTGCAGAGCTAAAGCTCTAAATGAAGCAAGTTTAGATTTCCTCAGGTTCTGAATTTCCCAACTGATTGGGGCTCCTTTTCAATTTTATTTTATTGAGCCCCTTTTCAATTTTATTTTATTTAATTTTATTTGTCACTATCAAAATCATACATATTCAGAGCATTAGTCTGGGAACTGAATATCATGTTATCATGGCATAACAGGAAGTTAAGTACCAGCAGTATTCCTAACTATATCACAGTAGAATGAAAGCTATGTTTTAAAAATGTTTACTCCATATTCAATCCATTTTACGATGATATGCAAGATAACACTACTTTGAAAAGTTTACTTTCAATTATTCAAAATAAGCAATAAAGATTCACAAGATGCATAACATTTTACATTGTTATGCAATCAGTGGTTTATGAGAAATAGTATTAGTCGCATGACTGATTTTCTGCATTTTCTATGGGTTGATTTGATTATGAGAAAATATTTGTAAATCACAGAGACTAAATATTCACAAAAACAAACTGAGCCATTTTGGTCAGTAAATAACTAAATAGCTGCTTGGCAAGACAGTCATTGATCTGATCCACACTGTACATGATGACATAAAGAATATACTACCCAGCTTTTCAAAGGGATAACCTGTCATATGAATTTTTAGATATACACAAGACATTTGAGAATCCTTTTGAGTGTCTTGTAAGATGAAAAGAGCTCTATCAAAAGTGGTTACTTTGGTTGGTCTTGTCGGTTTCTGTCGACCGAATTGTTTTTTCTTTCGACCGAATTGGTTTTTTTATCAAATGTGAAACATCTATTGGCTAAAGCCATGACTGACAATGTTAGGCTCTTCAGTGCCTTATTCATATTGTACTAATGAGCCAAGTTGAGGCAGCACCTGTAATCAAGATGGAAGCGGACGTCATTCATTTTGCTCCCCCTCACAGTGGTGTTGACACGGAAGTTGTGGTCAATCACTGTTTCTCCGTACATGTAGTTTTTGTGCATCTTGTTCATGTGACACTGGACGTACACAGGGTCAAGGTTACCACTGCCATCAAGGTCAATGAGGTACACACCAGACGTGTTGCGACCAGATTGGAAGTAAGAGTCACATGTTCTTGGATATTTGGCTGCAACAAAAACAAAAGGAAAAATTAAAATCTTTCTACCTGAGGAAGCTTCAGGTCATTAGTAAAACAGAATGAAAGTTTATAAAATGTCAAAATTCTTCACAAACTGCTTCTTAATTCAAGAATCACAAAATGTTTGAAGTCAAGGTCTATCATTTTTTCGTCTGTCATTTTCAACTATACAGATTTTGACTCATTTGAGAGCAATTCTCTATTTGCACTTCAAATACAGTTTGAGAAAGTTCACTTTGTGGGTGAGTGAATTGGCTCATTTTTGTATTTTGTATTTTGGGTATTTCATGGCATTTGAAGACATAATCAGCAGATCCAAGCTTGACCAAGGGACATAACTCTGCACACTGAAATATGGTGCAACTACCACTTTGAAACCTAGCACTTAAAAAAGACTCCCAGGAAAGATAATTAACCTGATAGGCTGTCTGCTCATAATCAGTGATTCAAACCAATGATTGGCAGATCCTGGTAAAGGGACACAACTCTTCATAGTGAAGCGCAGCAGAAGACAATGTTAAAGACAGCCCTCCCTTTTTCCAGAAGCAGCACATGACACAGTTGACAAGAGTCTGGTGTACTCACAGAAGTGACAAGCCTTCCCCTCATAGTGTTTGGGACAGTCACACTGTACTCCATCCCAGTCAGACAGACACTCGCTGTTGTGTTCGCAGATCTTGTCAGCAGCGCAGTAGTTGATTAGGTGGCAGCCGTCCAGCTTGATGCCGACAGCAGCGCTGGAGTCGATGGTGGTGATGGGGTCAATCTTCTCACCTTGAATCTTGATGGCTTTCATACAGCCCACAAACCCTTCAGAATCTGAAACAGATTTATCACATTACTACAGCTAATCTGTAACCCCCTAGTTGGTCTGACAGTCCCTGAACCGTATTATTATTCCTACTGCCTTGCCCTCCCTGCAATGCTAGAGCCCTGAATGAAGATAGTGTAGATTTCTTCAGGTTCTGAATCTCCCATCTCACTGGGACTCCTTTTCAATTTAAATGGGTTTATTATCAGAATCATATGTACTCAGGTAGTAGGGCTGCAACGAATACACTATGTGGTGAATATGATATGTATCCAAATATTGGGTAACGAATACGAATAATTTTTCATGAATACAATATTGTAGTTAAGTGATTGAGGCACAATATGGAACGCCCATGTTGACAGTTTTAATTTGTCACAGCAATAACCAGTAATCTCATGACACTCAAATTTGGTATGTAATAGTTAAAGGTGACAGTACCGTGCGCGGCCTTGGCAAACAAACATGACTGCATATGCTAGTACATATTCCATTCTTGCATATCTTAGTTTGAAAATGGACATAAGAATTCAAGTAAAACATGCTCCCTTAATCGTAAATAATTGGTAATATTTGGTTCAGGTGGCCACGAATAACGAATTGAATTCATGAAGGGATACGGTTCGATTCACCGAATATGTGAGTGAATCGTAACAGCCTTATCAGGGACTAAGCATTAGTCAAGCAACCCACTACATGTGGCCACTAAAGGAAGTTAAGCAAAGGTTGCTGGGTACTGCAGGCCTTTGGATTCTGAATCCAAAACAGGAATAACAGAAGCCTTCTGCATATTTTGTCACTCACTTTTGTATCGTCGGAGTCCATACCCAAGCACAATTTTGCCACGCTGTCGTAGCGTCTGAGTATATCGGGTAGTGGTCCGTGTTGTCTCATCCACATTGATCTTGACTTTGCTGGGGAGAGAAAACAGATGTTATTGGACATGCTTTTTGGCGTTGTTAAGAAATGTCTGTCCTGGTTTGTTGAGCATTGTTGATTATATTCTGGTACCATCTATGAATACATAAACACACTGAGCAAACAAACAGTTTTCTCATATTTTATCAGCCTTATAAACCTATATTTGTATGGAAAGTCCACTTTCATTTTTTAATTATTCAGCCCCTCACTACAGTGTGATCGTAAATATCTGTTGATGACATTAACATCAAAATATCTACCTGGTATGTAATATTTACTTCTAAATGAACTGTTGCATCAGTCATGGAATATTACACAAGAGGTAAGAAACTTTCAACATTCATATCAACAGGCACACTAATGTTTTTCTACAGCACTCAAACATATTTATCAGCTTATTATAAATTTTCTATAGTGTTTCAACATATTCCAGTAGGTAAATATCATTAAGTGCACAAATTATTGTTTTCTACCACAAATATCAACAGGCTAACAAGTGATATTCTAGTATTCGAACATTTTTTAATAGATCAGTTTACTCTCATTATTCTTCAGTGTTACAGCATCTTACTTGTTTTTGAGGGTGAGCTTGAGGGAGTGCCACTGTTCATTGTTGACCTGAGCTGGGAGGGTGAGGTTCTGGGTGAGGGTGGGGTCATTGGAGGGGGAGAAGTACAGGAGGGGCAGGCCATTCTTCACCCACACCTGCAGCAAGAGCAACATATGGGGACAAGTGTTATACATCCTCATTTACCGAGACAACAAAAACTCATTATATCCATCAGTGACTAATAAACATGTCATCAGTGACCATGTATTCAAGCTTGTTCAAACCCAGGGTCAGTATAGAGAAGCATATCATGTGATTGTTTCTCGGGATCAATGAAGTTGGAACCCCCCACCCCATCCCAATTTGTTTGTTATTTAATGCTGCACTCTGCAATATTCCAGCTATATAGTGTCAGCCTGTAAATAATCAAGACTGGACCTGATAATCCAGTGATCAACATCACGAGCTTCGATCCAAACAATTGGGGTATAATGACATGTGTCAACCAAGTCAGCGAGCCTGACCACCCAACCCTGTTAGTCGCCTCTTACAACAAGCATGGGTTACTGAAGATCAATTCTAACCAGGGTCTTCGCAGGGAATCCCTCTTATGAGAGGGTGGACTGATGCATCAAGTACAAGAGACCGAGAACGGAACTGTAGACAATGGACAACCCAATAAGTCCCCTGTCTTTCTTTGTGCATTCAGCAAATCATGTCATAAAAGAATTGTACATCTCTCAGATTCTTGTGTTGCTTATCTAATTCTTGAGCAAAGCAGAAATGGGGAGATAACTCTTGCAATCTTGATTGTATTGGCAGCAAGGCTAACACAGTTGAGTGCTTCTGCCTTTGTAAATACACACCCATTACCTACAGAATATGTGTATAGTTCTAAAACTATTCACTCCACATACTAGTAGTTTTCAAAGGTACATACAAAGAAAATAAATTAATCTTTTTAAGAAAGTGACATTTCTGTACCTCGATGAAACCAAAGTCATAAGCGCCACCATCCCTCTTTGAAATCAGTGCCACGTAGAACAACAATGCATTCTTCCTGACTGTCTTGAAATGTAACGACACTGTCAAATTCTGCAGCATACGAGTGTTGTGTCGCAACATCGACGACGACCTGGGGAAGGTGAAAGGAATCTCTTGGGTCGGGTCACATTTAAATTCCGGGGTGGAGCCACCATGGTATGCACACTGAGAGTTTGTGGTCCGGAGGCCGTGGAGGACTGAGAAGTCGTTGAAGTAGACGTTCCTCAAACATCCCACAAATGTCTGCGTCACCTGGAGACCTGTAACAAATTAAAATGGTCAACATTTTGAGGGTCCTCTTGGAGTATACTGGTTTGGGTAAATCAAGGACTAAAAGCTGTGGTGGATGAGTGGATCAAATCAAAGACTGCTGATTACGTGCCTTAATCTTCAAACTTTTGGGAACCCAAACTCTCAGTGTAAGGCACCTACCTACTCACCAGCACACAATAACAGCAATCCAACCCACTCAACCACTGTGGATCCCAATGACAAAGTGTAATCCCAAATATAACCCATGTTACATTTAACCACTTTCTAAAGGCACTCAATGTTCAAATAACAAAGGGTCTAAGGAAATTATTTTTGCAGCAAACACAATCATCACAATCTAATATACAAACCAATGTGATCTGTTTGGGCAGCAGTTACCAATCACGTTTCATTAGTGTGAGTGATTCAATTATCCAAGAAGCAGGAGATTATTGCGTTAATTTACGATAGTAATTATCAACAGTTATCTGCATGTGTATAAACACTGACGCCAGTCAGTGAGAGCCACTGAATTAGCAAATGGCCAGATCACTACTTTTATAATGACAATAGGATTGGATTGCTCATGCCTTTCATTGTGAGCTGTTAAATACAGTAAATATTTGAGTGAGTGAGTGAGTGTGAGAGTGAATTGAGAACCAAGAGGATTCACTTAGGGACTGACTGACTGAGTTTGGTTTTACGCCACTTTTAGCAATATTCCAACAAAATCACAGCGGGGGACACCAGAAATGGGCTTCACTCATTGTACCCATGTGGGGATTCGAACCCGGGTCTTCGGCGTGACGAGCCAACGCTTTAACCACTAGACTACCCCAAGGGAAGCTTGATGATGATGATGATGATGATGATGATGATGGCAGGAGGGCATCCCACAAAGAACATGGCATTACAAGCTAATGCTCAAACAATTAGACTAACTCAACAGCAGCATTTGGATATTGAGACTTTAAGAAATTCCAATGAACTCCTTCAAACTTTGTATTTTCCTCTGTATTGTGAACATATTTTATTTAAATACTGAAATACATGTAAGTACTCCAATATTGAGTTCAAGGATTTTTTCATCCATTTGGAAAACAGGAAGTTTGTCTACATTAGCTTATTATGTTGTTTTAACATTTCGAATTTAGTATGATCATTAAAGAATGGAAACATTCATATGCATAGTTACATACATATATATACAAACCAAAATATTTAGGAACCATGTATGTACTTATCTATTATTTGTTGTGAAGACGGATCACTCAATTTCATATACATCTCCCCCGATATATTCCTGATCCATAACTTGCTTGTTCAGTGTACTTATTAAATTATTAACATATACATGGCACTAAATACTGATTCAAATATTTACCATTCCCGGAATCATCCTCAGTTATATCATCCTAGCAGCTCATGATAACATGGCCTCATCTTTCACGTACAAAGTTTCAGTCTAGTTTAGCTACAATCAAAGATTACATCTAATCTCAAGTGAAATTTAATCTATCAGAAACAATTTCAATATTTCAATACAGTTTGGGGAGACAATAATGATGAGTTTGCCAAGAGAATGAAGAACATCCATGAAATGACACCTTAATGTCGTCATTTAACTCCCTGGAAGCAATTACTGTCAAATCCAGTAATTTCTCTATCACCCCAATGATTTAATATCCCAGCCGAGTCAAACTTCAACTGATTTCAACAGGAGATAAGTTAAAGAAGGAAACCTGCATGGGAGCTCAAATCTGTGCTCAATTAAATCCATACAAACACGGCACGGATCTCAATCACTGTCAAAACCTGCCTGTCATAAATTAACAATCACTCGTCATTTTGGGATGATTTCCGTCATTTTGGGATGATTTCGTGAGATAGCTAGAAATTTATGTCCTGGCTGGGAGGCTTGGACAGCTCGAAATGGTAAGATCGGCCAAACCTCACCTTCAGCATCAACAGTGACCTTTGTGAGGTGACTGACTGATGGCCCGAAATCCAAGTTATCTTACAATCACTTAACTGATTACAAACTAAGGGCTGATTTACATTCAGCTTTTGACAAAAGAATGTCTAATTTAAGATCAAAGAGCCAAAATTAGAATAAAGCTTTCTGGAAATGGAAATCTGCATTTTAATCTTATAATGAATTTGGGAATGAGAATTGAGGGAATTTTGATACGATTTATTCTCATTGTGTGCTGAGAAGCATGGCATAAAATTATTCAACATCAGTCAAATTTGTATTTGTTATGCTACGCAATTTGATACAGTTCACACCTTGAGACAAGGGGTGGGAAGCATTCAGTTAGAGATTAGCATAATGGTTGATTTCTAAGTGGTCAGTGTATTTCAATGGCCAGCTGAATGTCCATACAATACAAAGACCTGTTTAATGGCTACATCGTACAAAGGGAAGAGAAGTACACCATTATTGTCCAACTTAAATATAGGCTTTAGTCTTAATGGGTAAATGTTGCCACTTTGGAACCATCACCTTTCAATATCAGTTCACATGGAATATATTATCTTCTGTGATTATTGTGATTGACTTCATAATTAGAGGGTCGGTTTGAACTACCGAAACATTGTGGATGGTATCACTCTGAGATTAGTCTGCAATGAGATCTCATTAGCCTCCAATCTTACTTGAGTGTCTGTTCTCTGATACTGTAAAAGGTTCATACCAAACTTGAGGCATGAAGGCCTCTTCACTCCATGGCTCACCTTTTCCATGGCTCAAAGAATCCAGTGTCTGTTCAAATGTACTAGATAGGACATCCATACATGTACTATATTTCAGTGTCAATTTCATACTAAGTATTAGAATTGCCACAGCCTTTGTAAGTCTGGACTACGCAAGTCAAAGGCTTTTTCAGGACTTGACATACACATTTACGGCCAAAGAAAATTAAAGGGCAGACTATCAAATCCAAGGTCTTTTAAGACTGGAGTACCCAATTCAAGGTCTTTCATGGTTGGACTACCAAATTCAGGATCATTCAAGGCTGGACTACCAAATTGAAAGACAATAATATACAATGACTTCAAATAGGCATAAATATATGATATATGGTCACTATTTCTTTACAAAATTCGAAATGATTTCATCTTTGGACAAAGACAGACTTTATGTAACAAGTTGAAAATAGGAAGCTCACTAAAGATGATCATTTTAAACTAAAATATCTGTCTCTCAAGATCACTAAAATACTGTCTAAAATAAATTTATTCCCCAAATATTGTCTATTCCTTGGTGTAGGATTCAACTAGCATTCCAGAAAGACATAGCATTCTACCATCCGCCCTGGACATAGAAAATATGGGAATACAAAATAAAGAGCCGACCATCTTGAATAACATGGCACTATGATCAATCTACATCTTCTCCTGACAATACACCATAATCAGTTGTGATCACAATTCCTGTTCCATTAGAATTCCCTAATGTCCCAATACAATGATACATTTCCCATTCCCTAAAGAATTATGAATCTCTGTGACAATAACCATATCTTATCTAATGGGAAATGTTTGTTCAAAGGCAATTTGACCTTTATTTATCTTACAGGATTTGCACAAGCTTATCACGTAACTGGTCCACACCAGCGAGAGTGCTCACATTTGAGGGCATATTTCTATAACTTCGGCTGCCAGCCTAGAGTCAAACCACTGTAATTCCCTAAAGCGATACTGATTTTATCAGCCGTCTGCTGCAGACAGTGATACCCTGGAGGAGCAGATGACATTTTGGTGGCCTTAAAACTGACTCTACACGATCCACTATCAAAACCTGATTGGCCAATACCTTGCTTTTTGTTTTCAAAAACAGATGACTGTAAACGTTCTAAAATTTTGGACCTCTTACCTGATTAAATATTAATTTTTTTTGGTCAACTACTAGACTGATTCTTTGTTATTTACATACAGAAATATTCAAGATAAATGAAGGCAGTCAGTAAGTAATTGATACAGGACCAGACGGTCCCGTGATTGACATAATGAGCATCGATCTACAATTGTGACATGATGACATCCATCAACCATGTCAGCAAGTTTGACCTTCCAATCCCATTAGTTGATTCTTACGATAAGCTTGAGTTGCTGAAGACTAACCCAGATCCTCACATGGGTCAGCTGATTCAGCCTAATGTTAAATAAAGCATCACTTTCTATTTTTGAAACCCCATGAAGATCCGGGTTAGAATTGGTCTTCAGTAACCCATTCTTGTCGTAAGAGGTGACTAACGGGATTGGATGGTCAGGCTCACGGACTTGGTTGACACATGTCATCGTATCCCAATTGCGTAGATCATGCTCATGTTGTTGATCACTGGATTGTCTGGTCCAGGCTCGATTATTTACAGACAGCCGCCATTTAGCTGGGATATTGCTGAGTGCGGTGTTAAACAACAAATCAACCAACCAATTGTATTTTCAATGATCACTTTCTATTTTTAAAGCATTCAATCCAAACACAAAAAATATAACAACTGCTAAAGGAACGAGTGACATATTCAAATGTATTTAAGACCATCTTTCATCACAATCATCCAACGCATGAATCTAAACCTCTACCAAAACAGGAAATCCAAATCCACTGACATGAGTATAAAGTACAATTTGTCAAGAACTCTGCAAGTAACACAAGACACAATAAAAATGAACATGAAAATAGAAAACAGCATGATACTGACATAAGCAGTAACACATTAAAAAGCGTACTGAAACTTATTGATGATGCCCAATTTCAACAAAACTGTCTCTCACACTGTCTCAATCAAACCCGTGAAGATCCAGGTTAGAATACTGATCTTCAGTAACCCATGCATATCGTAAGACTGGATTGGGTGGTCAGGCTGGCTGACTTGGTTGACACTGGTCATCGGTTCCCACTTACGTAGATCGATGCTCATGCTGTTGATCACTGGATTGTCTTGTCCAAACTCGATTATTTACAGACCGCTGCCATATAGCTGGAATATTGCTGAGTGCAGCG